CCCAATATCGCACATATTCGTTCGGCTCATCCTACTCCACCAGCTCTCCCGCCACCCAAATCCTGGTCTCTGCCTTCATTAACAGTCATGATGAGTGAGGGGCATTTCAGCCATTTTCCTTACATTTCATAATTGCAAATTGGGACCGGGTCCTCTGCAGCAATTTCTCAAATTGGGGGTCCCTGATTGCTATTTTATATATTGGGGGGTCTTTATTTGCAATTTTCCCTAAAGATTACTATATAAAACTAATAAATTGTTAGTTGAAATGGTAAGTGATCTCACCTTTTTAAGCAGAAGAATACAAATTCAAATATAGAGAAACGTATTTATTAAGAGGGTTTTAATTTTTATGCTCTTGATCTGACATGTATTAGTATCAAGTTCAAAAGTAACCTGAGGATACTTTAAATTATATCCCAAAAAAAAAAAGATTAGTATATAAAATTTATCATCCTACATGATTCCCTTGTTCTTCCCTTTTTTGCTTGTTCGTATCAGACGTCATGCAATCGTTAGTTCGTACTTCTTTCTCTTTTTTCCCCTTTGGTGAAATAGTTCTTATTGCAATCTCTTTCTGCCAAAGAGAAACCGGGGAATAAAGTAGGCCTCATTTTGTTTTTGACAGAATCAGTTCACAGTGAAAGTAGCGTATCATTTAAGCCGCAAAGGGAGCCCACCATATCCATTCTCATAGAGCCCACGTGTTCTCAGTGACATTTTGGGCCCAATCCAACTTGAAGGTTGCCTTCTTATTTTCATTTTTGGGAATAATGATAATTCATTGATTTCCTCTTCGATATTTTATTTAAAGTTAATTTCTTGTCAAAGAAAATAACTCTAAATATGTCCATGTATAGTTCCTATTTTCAAATGGCGAGTGCCTTTACAATTTTTAAAATAAAAAAATGGGAAATTTCATAATTATTTAAAAGTATATAAAGTCCATGGAAAAGGGAATTTGCATATTTTTTCAGTACAAAGGGAATTTATATTACGATGGTTCAAGAAAGAAAGGAAGCTACAATGAGAATTGAATAGTTGTTAGGCTGAGTCGCCTGGTTTTTCTTCTTCTTATTAGAGGCAATCTTATCTAAGACACTATTAGGTACTAAATGTGGATACTTCTTTTAACAAGAATTCAAATATTAGTTTATTATATTGTAAAGAATTAATCCCTTTCGTTAGATTCAACTATTATTAGTCCACGGAGTTAATAATGGATGGCATCCAAAAAGGCAGTTTGTTGGGCACAGAGTTTGTCGATTACCGCGTTTGGGCCCAGCCCAATGTGAGGGTCCATGTTGGGGCATTAAAGTGTGTGATCGTTGGACCGTGACAACGCAAAAGCGATTTTTAATTTTGTCGTTTACCAAACCATTCTGTTTCCCCCGTCCAATCAATTGTAAAGGAAAGGCTGCGCTCACTTTACCTGCTAATCCACGTCCGATTTGCTTTTTCAGCTTTGATTTCTTTCTTGGCTCATCCTGTGCATTCTGCTTTAACCCCAAACAATTTACAACTTTAACAATGCCTTTAATCTAAGCTTTTAATATTACTGCCCCTTTATTTTTATTTTGTTTTTTGTCAATGTTTAATCACTACTGCTGATTGGTTTCTTTTTAAGACAGAGGGAAGAAGAAAGGCGCCAGAATAGTAATAGATTTGTTGGTATCGATCTTCTTTCTCTTTACTCCTTTTTTCTTTTTTTCAACAGATGAAAAGGGAAACAAACCGTACTCAATTATTTGGGCGTTGAATTGTCAAGGGGATGTGTTTCTCTTTCGGCCAATTGATGTGAGCTTTGGCAAGACTCAAAATATTTTCCATTTTATCCATGTCAGCGTACCACGTGTTGCCATTTTACGGTCCTGTAGCGCGGAGCATGACCCTTGCTTCTAAACCATCCACCGCGAGAATAATTTTATCTTCAAAATTACAAATATTTGCTTACAATAAGTTTTTAAACCTGCCCTCACTTTTGGTCCCAAAAAAAAAAAACGTAAAGTCACACATTTTTTTCCTTCTCCCCCATTATTATACTACCTTCGGTCTTAATTACAAGAACTAGTTGAATAATTTAAAAAAATTAAAAAAAAAGTTAAGTTAGTTATTTGTAATAAACATGTGTTGTTTTTCTTAAAATGTCCTTGCTAATTAAGTGTATTAGCTAGAATTATCATTGTTAGAATGACTATTTTGAAAAAAAAAATATAAATATTAGCAACAAAATAAATTGGAGTCTTATATTTAGAATCAAAATAAAAATCAAACGAGACCGGAGGTAGTATCTTACAATATGTAATAGTTTGACTTAATTGTTGATTTATTATATAGGTTATTTAGCAAAAGAATAATTAATATAACATACGAAACTAATATAGGAACATCACTGTTCCAACTGACGTCAAAGTTAATGGAGGAGAGTTTGGCAAGCACGTTTCTTGGTAATTTCTAATCATTTCAAGTTGATTCGGTAGTGGTGGGTCAACGTTTGAATATTGACACCACAATAACAAGGAACTGACAAAGTAACTGGAGAAGCCAGGACGTGTCTAAAATATTTGGGCAAGTTTAATTGGCGAGACAACAAAAGCCAACAAAAGGGTCTTATCCAAATTACGATGCTTTAGGCTCCAAAAGGCTCCCAATCTCATAATTACCTCGCAAGCCTGTGCTGGGTGAACATTAATTGAGCGAACTGCGTCAAACACGATTCAATGTCATGTTTTTGGAGCCATGTGAGCGTCGTGGTAAAAGCAAGCTTGCCTTTCTATTTACCAAACACACTTTCCTGCCTCAGAGTGACGGTCCCATTCACACTGTTCCCTTGTTTTTACCTTTTACACCGAAAATCCAATAAAAGAGATACACAGACACACAACCCCAGCTGGGGACCCCAGAGAAAAAAATAAAATAAAAATAAAAATTATATGGGTAGGCATTAAGTAATAAAAGAGGGAGGAAAAAGGTTAGAACATTATACACTCCTAGAGCCAGCTATGCCTAAAAAATGGACCACCCATGCTTTAACGTAAGAGCTAGGTTGTAATACTGATGCTGGAAGTTATTGGAGAGCGAGAGGGCGTTTTCCCCTACAGAGTCAATCTGTAGGCAAATTCAATTTTCTGGAATTGTGAAGGACACCTGGCATGAAGTGCGCCCGGCTCATAGATCCATTATAGGCATTGAAATGGATCATCATGGATCCAATCGATGGTTCCTAGTATTTGCCCTTACGGCAGATGTATTCCAAAAATTAGGCCATGGTGGCCTAAAAATGGATGATGTTTGCCCTCTGCAATAAGCCAGGCAGTGCCAAAGAGAGAATGAAGAAAATAGGCGGCTTCATAAATGGAGGCACATGGACGCATGTGAAATGCAAAAAAATGTATGAATGAAGGAATGAAAGTGCACGAAATGAGAAGGGATCGGATTTCCTAGACGGGGAACCCAACAAAAACAAATACTACTACCCGCCCCATTATAATAGGAAAAAAGGAAGGCGTGGTCCCTAAACCACATTGCATAAGATGACCAAATGGGAAGTCGCCATCTAGAACGTGACAGTTGGATTGTCAAGGTTCCTCACGTGGCAGGCCTTAATTACGAAAACGGAATTCCCTCGAGAGAGGCCAATAGTTCACCCACTAAGGTGGGGCCCAGTCCCAAAAAGACCCTGTCCAGGATCTGACCCCTTAATTGTCTGTGTCCAATAACACACAACGTGGACGCAAATTCATTCAAAAAAGCCAATAGGCAATTTACTCTCCCTGAATAATAAATATAAATATAAATAAATAAATCCGCATGTGATCAAAGTTTTCTTCTCGCTCACATGCTCACATGCAGGCCAATACGAGTGGGGTCCCTGAAGGGTTGATATTGTAGGGCCACCGAGGCACATGATGGGACGGAGGCTCAACTTTATATTCATCATCATCCTATTTAGTATTTACCCATTTTCAAATCTCACAGATAACCAACCCAAACGGCCACACAACACCACATTAATATCTCCATCGCTTGTAATCATAACTGATAACTCCATCATTTTATAGGAGCAAGGCGATTTCATCTTCATACACGACGAACATGCACTGTTCTGTTGGTTAACTCTGACGATCTTGCGAGAATCTCTCAATCTGGTGGGAGTGAAGCGTGATTTTGCATTCCGGAGACTATTAACATAATTGTTGCACAGTCGAAATTGGATAACTTTGAACGGGAACTGTACCGTCCACTGCCGCTTCCTTGATGATAGATTATTTGCTAACCAACAGAAGCCAATGGCAATTCTTTAAATAATAGTAATTGACATAACCATCTATCTATAAAAGATTACTATTTTAATATAAATATAATTGTGGATCATATAGCCGACCCCACCTAGTGGGATAAGGCTTGTTGTTTGTTTGTTTGTTTATAATTGTGGATCATATGGCATCCTTTTCTGTCCACAAATTTTATGCATGTTCCTTAAAATTGAAGTCCTGCCTTTTATTTAAGGGTTGGCGCTTTCATTTTCAACTCCAAAAAGAGTGAAAGGTTGGGATAGAGGTCGTCCAGGCTCAATATACAACGCACGAAGACACAACAAGTCTAATTCCTGGGCTTAATTGCAATTATTCAAGGTTGTCACTCCACCGCAATACAAATCCCAAGGAAAGTGGATTGCCAATGACAAAAAGGGGCATCAATTATTAGGAAGTTGATCAATGTTATAAAAAGGGGATGACAATAAAATCAAGGGGGAAAGTCGAATACATGAATTTTTAACCCCACTAATAATTAACTTAAATGTCAAGTTGCAGACTTGTAGACGGATTTGCTTTCAAGAACAGCTGTATGGAGATTCATGCTACTATTGACAACCCCCCCCCCTTTTTTTTCAGGTAAAGGCCACTCACAATTCCCACTTGATTCTTATATAAATATATATTTTTTAAAAGAGAAGATAGGAAAGGAATCAAAGCGGGTATCATGCATGCTCCTTTAAATTTAAAGAATAGGGAACATAAATAAATTAAAAAGGTGGTTAAGACTTGCGATAGGGCATCTTAATACTCAGAAAGGAAGAAAAGCCATCATATACACAATAAAATACATGAATTTAAAAACCAATACTAGAGAGGAAAGAGGGAGAGGGGAAAAAAAGAAGGAAAAAAAAAACACCTGGCGCCATAAGCCCAGGCTGAATAATGGGGTCAGTTCAACGTTTTACGGTCGAGGCCCCTCGATTCGATCGGCCGGTGCGCTACTACCGGTAAGCAGTTCGGTGAGTGCCGTCATTACTCGAACTTGCATCTCCAACGCCGGTATATAATCAGTGGTTTCTTCCAGAAGATTTGGAAAGGAGACCTTACGGCAACCAGGAACTAATCGGCCTAAAGCGCGCGCTTTCTTCTGCAAAGCAGGCAACCTCTTTCTCTCTTTCCTAATCTCCGGCTTCTTCAATCCTCTTGTCATCTTCTTCACCTTCTTGTGTTGCCTCTGGAATCTCCAACGGCCGAGCGGAGAGGCCAGAATCGCTCGACTCCATCGAGTTCTCCCCTTGGCCGTCGTGGCTAGAACTCTATAAGCCGTCTCACGAATTTCACGACCGCCGCTAGGTTTGGGCGGGAGAGAAGGACTGCGGCGGAGGACATGGCGCAGAGCTTCGACGAGCTTGGATGAGTAGATCCGGCGCTCCGTGTCGGATCTCCACCGTACGGGGTGGAGAGAACTTTGATGGCTAGGATCGGCCCCAAAATCGGTGGGCCGTTTAAGACTGGATGGTGGCAACGGATCGGAATGAATAGAATCTAAGTCGGGCTGCAAAATCGCCATATACGCGGAAACAGCGAATCCTGCCGCAGCCAGGCCCTTGTTAGCGAGAGGAACAGAAATCTGGTACTAGAAAGGAGTGAAATGGAACAGAGAGGAGAGATGAGAATGGAAGAGAATCGTGTTGAATCGAAACAGAATGAGAAATAAAGAAGAAGAACAAGAAGGAAGGATGGGAAAGTCGGGGTGAGAGTTTGAATGAGTATTTGTAGACAAGGAAAGAAAGAGAGAGTATGAAAGCAATTCACGGGGAACCACGCGTCCTGCCCCGGCTCCCCCCAGTTATTGCCTTCTGCCCTCCTTCTCTCTCACCCACACGCATTTCTTTATCCTAATTAATAAATATATTTATTTCTCTGTTCTTTTTTTTTTTTTTTGACCGGAGTTTCTCTGTTCTTAAAACTATAAATAAAGCTCCCGTTTTTTCCATCTTCATGCCTCCATCCTCTCCAATTTGGATCTTCACAGGCTCTGCCAACTATTTCTCCAACAAAGTCCAACTACATAATGGGCACAGGTGACAAATTAATCCCTTACAGGGGAGATATGTAATACTCCTCCAGTTTTAAATAAAAAACTTTTTTTGTAGTTATTAAAAAAAGTCTTTTATTTAGGATTGGAAGAGTATAATTTAGTTCTTAAACAGTTATTCTCAATTAAAATTAACTAAATATATAAAAAAAAGCCGTGTTAATATGTGTGGGAAATGTTGAGAAAAAAATATATCAAGCACTAGAGAGATCGCACTGTGGATAGTGCCAGTCTATTTTGCCCAGAGAAAACATAGTGCAGCTCTGTATAGGTTTGATTTTGCAAATAAATAAGCAAGTTTTATGTGCTCAGCAAACAAATACCACACGGTCAATAGAAGCAATGCACAGGTTTTACATTTCGAAAGATCTGAATCTGATGCTCAAGCAGTCACGGTGTTTCTCACTCTAAAGATCCAAATTACTTTTCCCGGGAACATTATGGATTTGTGTTTCCCCTTTGTCAAGGTACTGTCAGTTGCAGAATTTCCTATTTTCTATCGTAAAAAACCACTCATCTTCCACTACTTTACGGTTCCCCTGCTGATTGAGCACGTTGAATTGTTCCGTGGCTTAGTAGCCAACCTAACTAGAAGAGCGCCATAAGGAAACTGTACTAAGAATAACAAGAAAAATGCCTCGTCAATTAAACAGATAAACATTTGAGAGACTGGCTAACGGAACCATGCAAAAGCAATCAATTTTAATTGATTGCAAATTAAAATGTTTGTGTGTGTAGAGAGAGAGAGGGCGGGGGGGAGGGAAGGTCGGGGATAGAGACCTCACATCGCATGGCAGTTCCCGTGAGGAAAATTTAGGCTTACTTGATTGGACGAGGTGGCCGTAGACAACTCATCTCTTAAAATCTTCCATTATCAAAGTACTATTCTTATTGTGTATTCAGTGTTCTTTTTTTAAAGTTAGACTGAACAAAGAGATACTCTTTCGGTCCTTAATATAGGACTAAATTCTTAAGTTGGTTTTGATCCTAAATATAAGACCCCTTTCTCATATTTATCAATTTTCTTTAAATTACCCCTATGAATACTCCCTTAACCATAATCAAGTAAAAGAGGGAAATGAGGTATTAAGAAAAATGATTATGGTATTTTAGGAAAAATGTGTCACTTTTCTTATAATTAACTAATTTATCTAACTTCCTTAATCTAATTAAATTAGTTAAATGAGTCTTATATTAAGGATTGGAGGAGTATTATAAACTTTCAATAGCCACGGGGGGCATAAACTATTCCTAATTAATTCAAACTCAAAGAGGAGAGTTGGTTTTCGTAGGGATTATGCAGTCACTATTACCTATTCCGTAGCTCTTTAAGCGGATAAGATCTCCCACGCAGCTTCAATCATCTTTCCTTGCTTGCAAAGATAGAACCTCAAGAAAGAGAGAAAAGATAATTTAAGGGATAAAAAAAGGATTACAACATTTACTAGGTTGAGGCGCTAAGCCAAGGGTGTAACTTTCACATGCGGCAACATAAATAGTAATCTATTTGGATGCTTTAGTAGCGTTTGGTGATAACCGATAATGTTGTTTTTTGGACTCTACGTCATTTCACATGTTATTTTTTGCAATAATGTTTTGGATATAAATTTAGAATATTTCTAAATCACTTTAAACTTGAGATTTATCTCTGTCAGATTGAAAACACTAATATTAAAACTCTCACAACAAATGTGCTTTGTGATATTTAAATTTGTCTTTACAAGTTGAGATTGCTTGCATCTTAATCATCAACTTATTGGTATTTTTGTTTGTAACGATGTTATTTTGAGCTTTGTCTATTTACTCATAAACGTTGGAAACATTTTCAAATATGCACGGCACTTTACAGGAAGGTGAAGATTTTAACCCCACAATTTAGACACAATATACAACCCTGAGAGTTCATAGTAGATGTGATCCAAACAGTGATAAGAAAGTCATTTGTCCTTCAAATTCAACGGCGAAGATGGATCATCAGTCATGATCACGAAATCCAATAAAATTAGCAATACACCGCCTTTTCTAAGATAGAACGAAAATCTATATATAACACAACATACTGTTCAAAAGCACTGAACAAATGAAACCGTATCAAAATTCCTAATGTTTAAAGGATGCAATAAAGATTCCATCACGTTCCTTACCTTGATTATTGCAAGGATGGGATGTTGACCCTTTTACATAATACTCAAAATTCAATTCAATTCAATCCAATCTTGATGTCATTGGCATGAATACAAAATTGTCGCCATTGGGTGACATGTAGTTATACTAATGAGGAATGGAAGGAAGGCAGTTGGCGTGCGGGGATAGGTGAAATGGAATGGGGCCAAACTGTTTTGTTTTATTGGGGGCAATGATTAGAGGGCGATGGTCCAGATGAAAGCCGAGACAGAGCGGCTGAAAAGGGCAGGCATGTCATGTGCTTGTTTTATGCCACTTTCCATCATCTCCGCTGGCTAGCCTGGCCTTTCATTTTCTTTTCCTTTCTTTTAATGGAATTGAATTCTACTACGTTTCGTCCGCATTGCCCTCCTTCCTTCCTTCCTTCCTTCCTTCCTGTACCCTCAACCCCCCCCCCCCCAAAAAAAATTCAAGAATATGTTGTGTTCTGTACATAAATTCTGCATTATTGACACCACACAGTGTAATTGGTTTCATATATGAGATAAGGGCAACAATAAAATAATAAGGAGCAGGAGAGGGTTGGTGGTAATGGGATATTGGAAGCGAATCTGAGCAAAAGATCAGATCAGCACCCCCGTGCCCAGATGACATGCCAGAAAGCGTTGCCCCCTTGGAAGAGACAGCCTTTACTGTCCAAGCGCTTCAATTGAGCCCAATCGAAAATATTGGTCTCTCCCAATGATTTTCTCCGCCACCCAAGAAACAAGCAACCCATAGACAATTTCTATCACGAACAATAATAAATAATAAATAATAAAATAATTCGTGCGGATTTTCTGGCAGATAGACATAGTTAAATATCCTCAGCTGGAACGCCTGGTCAAGGAGTTCGTGTTTGATTAACTATTCAATTGGTGATGATTCGTATTTCAATTTCCAAAGCTATCATCATGGACACAAAATAACCTGCACCCAGGGTATAAGATGCATATAAAATATACACGAATGAACAATAAAAGTAAAAGGAGCTTTAACCATTTAGGTCTCACGTTCATAGCTGCTAAAGGGGCGGAGATGATGGGAAGGTGAAAAAAAAGAAGCAACAAATCATATCCTATCTTCTCATAGAATTGCTCTGTTTTTATATTATAATAATAATAATAATAATAATAATAATAATGGATTTGCTCGGTTATTGTTATTATTATTATTATTATTGAAAAAAACTCGTTGAGTTCTAAGACTTGCAAATCCTCAAGTTTATCCCAGTGAGGAAAATATTTGTTCATCTTTCTATCCGCCGTACGCCAATAATTCTACCAATCAACTTCCCTCCGCCCATTTTCCGTGAAGTAACCAATTCGGTGTCAACTTTCAGCCTGGAGACCATTAAAGTATTGATTAGGGATTTTGCTCACGCAAGAACAATAATATAATACGCAAGTTTGGTTAGACCAGGTGACCGCATGAGACAAACAATGAAAGAACATCACTGTGCCTTGTTGCTTCCCAACATGGATTTCCTACGCTAAACATTGAACATGTTAATCGTTTGCTTACCTCTTTTTTTTTAAATACAGGCGTGCCTGTACAAGTCATATTTCATGAATTCTTGACTCGAGGATTATTGGCGGAGAATAGTTACTAGACGTGAGCTTACTCACTTGATGACGGCGTCAAAGCCATTAGATAATTCGATGGCCAAAACTTCTTCACTTTTACCTTCAACATGTTTCTTTGAACGTTACTGCCGTTGTCATTATTTATATTGCAACATCTTTTAAGAAAGCGCCTACCTTTGGATTGACTAACGAATACCATGATTGCGTATCACTGATTATCCCCCGGGTAACAATGGCTACTCTACATTTATTTTTTATTTTTTGAATTAAAGGACATCTTTGTTCCTAAACTATCCCGAGCCTATTTCTTTATCTGAAATCAGTAGTTAACATCAGTGTCTATCAGCTTAAAGAGCAACATTATATTGACCTACATCCTTAAAGGACGATATGGCTCCAAGAAAATAATTTAGGATAACTACATATTTAAACCTTTTCTCAGGGGAACATTCTACATTTAGTCTGAGTCCCATGCTACGGTAAATCGAGCCTAATGATCAAGCACTAAACCCACCACAATCGTGCTTTGCGCCAAACTTTCACCCATTATTGTTATATGCAAGTTGAATGTAGCATTCAGTGGAACTAACGCAGTTGACCTTTTAACTATAACCTAAATACAATTTTAATACTGGACTATTTCTAATATGTGAAAAACGATTTATAAACAATTTTTCAATCATAACTTACAGAATACGAGATAAGTCTATTACAAATTTTTGTTACAAGTGATTTTAAACATAATTCTAAGCAAGGCCTAAAAGTATGTTCTGTGGCAAAACGCAGAACACATTCCAACACTCCCAAGTGAAAAATCATGGGCCATAGAGCATTGAGAAAACAAAATTTTAAACTGAAACAATTTTTTGTTTTTTTTTTGTTTTTGAAAAAGACACGAGAGCTAATGAATGTGATTCCTGGTCTCTCAAAGGAAGAGTGCTCCATCATGCGTGAATAGGCAAGTTTCCCTTTTAAGTTGTACAGACGACTTAAACATGTTTAGTCTTCAGGGATGCTCTACGATTTATTTGTTACTTCGCAAAAAAAAAAAAAAAAAGAAAGAAAAAAGAAAAGACGTCTTAAAGATCCAAAGTTTTAGTCTATGAACATAAGAACATTCTTCCCCCCTTGGTTCGAATTTTGATAATAAAGCATTTAGTTGTCAGACGCAAATTCCCTCGGTGATTTCTAGTTTGACTCGGGGGTGGAATGAAACATTCTTACTCTTTTAGCTTTTTGTGATAATTGTGAAATGTTACTAGTTATATAGACTATAGCATAACAGCGCAGAGTGTCTGCTTCGTCTGTTACCCAATTCATTCTCTGCTTATCCACAAAACAGCCATCTTGATAATGATTACGCGCTATTGAATTATTTTTCCAAAACAGAAAAAATATGATTAAGTGAAGATGACTGCCGCAGGAGAGTGGCCAGACAATTCTTAATTAATGTTAAACTATAAAAAGATCATGAGCGAACCTCAAGCATTTAAATATCACATGTTGCAGGAAAAAAGAGGAGAAAGGGATCAGGAGAGGTACCGCAAAACGTGGTTAAAGAGTCAAGGGGCAACGGGCTGTGGAAAGGTACTAGCTGAAGCTTTGGGTTTGACCAAATGCGAAAGTGTGACATCTGCTGGGGCAGAGTTAGGTTCTGCCTCTCGGAAAGGCACCTCGAACTGTAAGGATTGATACAAACAAACCTCGTCTTCCTTGCAATAGTAAATCTGAGAACACAGAAGGTATCAATTTTTTTTTAAAGAAAAAAAAGCTACTGAAATAACAACACTTCCATTCTCATTATTGCATTCTCAACAGTAACAACCACACACAAGACTTTCTGAAACATCGAAAATGTTTTTTCTATTTTGTTTAGAAATAGAATTCTTGAAAGTATACACTGTTCTACTAGAAAAAGCTACTATTTCCTCCAATAGCTCGAACACATTTTGATTTTCACTACGAGCCATATTTAAATTCGGCCACAAAATTGATATGGTGCCCAGTTCTATACCGTTTCATCCATAAGCCCACCCTCAATTATCTTGCTGTTGGTTTTTAACCCGATCCGTTGACAAGGCACTCTATTGGACCATTAAAGCAAGAGCTAGCCAACCCGTGAGTGCTATGATAAGCCATACCTTGCAATTAATTCTTCCCATTGACGACGAAGTAGATGATCTCTGAAAATGAAGAGTTGCAGATCCCTCATCAAGGAATCCATCCCGGGGTTCAACATTGACGGCATCTTCAGGTTCAATATCAACGCTAAATCTACTACGTGCTTCCTGGCAATGGGGTTTGGGGGAGTAGTTAAAACGATATAATAAATTCATTTATAAAGGAAAGACTGTAAATATTCTATTGATTATAATCACATGTTAGAGTAATCCAAAGATAGGAGAATTATGAGGACCTTTGAGAAATGGTACTCATTTGGCAATGATACATGAATAGATAAGCGCCCTTCATTTGATGAAACGCCATTGGTGGTGATGGTCACCGTGTCTGCCGATGATCGTCTCCTTAGACGTTTAAAGGCCCTGGATTTAGGTGAAGGAGGTTGAAAACCTTTAAGCTCTAAAGTATGGAGTTCCAAACTTCCGTTGTTTAAATCGAGATATCGGATTAAGCTGTTGTTTGTATCGGCTATGAATAGTCTCCCTGAAAGATGAGAAGAAATACTTTCAAGCTGAACCTCATTATCTTACATTCGGTGGAAAAAAATTTGACGCCATACCCTAACATTTTTTTCATGACCAAGATGTACCAAAAAGTTGATATGCAGATGTCATGTAATAAAACGAATGCATGCACATGCAACTTTCCTAGATCTGGAAACTTCATCTCTTTTTTTTTCTTTTTTTTGAGCAGAGGAAACTTCATCTCACAAGGGTTTTAGAAACAGCTGAAAGCACCTAAAAGAAAGAAACTAGGAGTTGAGTCATAAAAGGTGTGTAGATATTAGAATATTTTCTGATTAATGTAGATAGTGTTAATATTGTAGAATTGGATATTATTTTGTTATTATGAGCCAATAATATCTAGGCTCCTCCCTCCTCTATATATAAACCCCTTTTATTTTATAGGCCCTGTATATATACCCCTTTGCTGGCCTTGAAATACACAAAAGATTTATATTCTCTTATATTCTTCTATAAAAGGCATGCCATTATGTACTTAAGAAATTACTTTAAGTTGATGTTCAGAAAAGTTACCATTTTGTGAAACTCACTTAGCCATATCAATAATGAAGTTTATGAAAAGAATTGAATCGAGGTGACAGCAAATCCACGTGTCACGGAAGAAAGACAAAACAGTATGCAAGTAAGGCCAAAATTGAATAGTATAGAAGAAAAATTGTAGTACGTGGTAGAATAAAAAGTCTAAAGTTTGATGATAACGGAAGGCTAGACTATGAGTATTTTCAAAATAAGATTAGGGACTGGTTGAGCATAATGTGAGAAGATTGGGCCTTGTGAAAACCACAAGAAAGTTATATAATTTTGAAAGAGTTATCATTTTGTGAAACTTCAAGCTCGGTTATGTATGCTATGTATTGAACAGCGGAGAAGGTAAGGCCTAAAGCCATCAAAGGAGCAAGTTCAGTGCAGTAAGCAGGAGGTTTTATGCAGTATTATAAAATAATTTTATGCCTAAACGTCAATGAAATAGGAATGGCTAATAAGCATTCCTGAAATGAGATTAGGCCAGGCGGAGATCACCACATTTACAAAACATATAAATGTTCAGCTAAAAAGACCAATGAAGTATTTGCAGCGAAAAGAGAAATACCATTATTCCCTTCAACAATTCCAGAGGGTTCGGAGAGCTGCAAGAACAATGACAAACATATTAACATATATCTGTAGCTACAAAAGCGAGCAATAACACATTTGTCAAGCAGTGTTTTCCTTTTACTTGGATGTATGGACGCTCATGACCTTTTACAGAGCATATAAAAAAGCTTGGTTCACCCTAAAATAGGATTATTAGAGCATTGAATCTAACAAAGCACATGCATCCAGACACGAGGAAATTTTATATCAGATAATTAGTATACAACATATAAGCATTATAAACAAGACTGTTGTTTTTACAACCTTAATAGGGATAATAACGTAATACAAAGACAAAACAAAATATTCAAAACAAAAAAAAAACAGAAAACAGTAAACGGCCATCTACTTTAAGCTCTCCAAAACTGCTGCATATTGTTACGATGATAACCATAAATAAACATAATATGACCACGTCTCTTCTCTTTCGCATGCCTAGGTGAAACAGATAGAAGACGAAAATGAATGAAACAATTGCACCTTAGATTCCAAACCTAGGAGAATTCGTTTTTTCTTTTTATGAACCTGTATCTACAGTGCTTGATCTCCTAGAGCTCACAAAACTTTAATTATTCCGAGACTAACTCTGTTTTTCAAATTGTTGGCAATGGTGAATATTATTCAAAATATATTATTTTTCTATTTTAAGGATTATACTGTATCTTTCAAGATCAGCCCCAGATATCTAATATCATTAAGCGTTGGCATCTAGGTTTAGTATTTTCTATTATTTTACATTTCTTCTCTTCCTTGTTTCTTGGTCTACCACCACTTGCGGTAGTCTTATATCCTGTATCAATACATTATAGAATAATATACTGAAAGCCTGAGTCATTTTTTTCTCAGCGACTTCAAATCGCTCACAAATGATTGGTATTGTCATAATCATGTGCCTTTATTACAGTACAAAAAGGAATAAAGTCAACTGCAGAACATCTTGCATAGACAATTCAACTATTTAAAAGAATAATCAAGATGATAATTGAATGGACACTGACATTTTGGTAGATAACATGGAGTGCAATACAAACCTGAGCTACTACAGCTTTTCCATCCCTAAATCCAGCTTTCCCTGTTCCTACAATTGTGCTAACTCTTTTAGTAGCTGGATCTAACTTTTTGATCTGAAAAATACACAAAAGGACAAAAAAATAGAAAATTCAATCACTAAGATTACTGAAGCTAAAATGTGGGTTGTGCGTATTGAATCATTCAAAGCAAAATTTTACAACATAACATTTGAAAGAATCAAACTTAGGTGAAGTTTCATAATAAGTATTTTTTATCAGGTTTTTCAATAGACACAAGAAGGAATATCTTTTTTCCTTTTTCAATAATCAAAACATCTGGTGCTGAACTGCAGAAAGAATCCCCTATGTCACTTGATTTAATAACCTGATAATAGCATCTAAAACAGTACTCGGGTATTATCCATATGAAGTTGCCCAAGAGTTTTAGAAATAAATCAGAAATATGTACTAAAAAGTAAGGTGGGGAAAGCCATTGCCAGCTTTGTGGGATTTCATAGAAAAGGTTTTTGTAGGTAGATGGCATTTAAGGTAGTTCAAACTCACAAGAGCCTAAAAAATTGATTCCTTACAATGTATAAGAACAAAGAGAGAATTTGTTGAAAACTTCTAGCAAAAAAAGTTGGGAAATGTTAATGTGAGGTAAAAGTCCTTTCCTAAGAATTTTACAGCTTAAATTATACAGACAAGTTCAATTAACTCTATTTAAATGCCCAGCATGACCTAACAACCTTATGATTGTAGCTGTCTGTGATGTAAATTTGGCCATCTTTTGCACACAAAACTGCCAGTGGATGTTGAAGAAGTACTTCAGAACCTACTCCATCGTGATCACCAAACTGTGGAGTAAAATTGTGAGATTCATCAAGCGAAAGGAGTTCTAAGAAAATGAGCCAAAATAACTCTCTGAAAGACAATCTAATCTTTTCCTTTTGGCCAAACAAAGACAATCCAATCAAAATGAATCAAAATAAAACACAAAATGTGTGAGATTGGTTTATGAATTTTATTTAAAAATACCTTAAACAAATTATCTGGGAAGATTGGGTCACCACCAGCAAGCAACCTCGACCCTCCAGTCTTCAGATCAACGGCTCGGATCGAACTACTCTCACTGTCAGCAATATACACTTCCATTTGATCTAATGAAACAAAATCATGCGCAACATTCATTACTTTGAATGATAACCGAGGCAAATCATCTTCATGAGAAACAGTTCCCGTTAACTGTTACCTTGAGACAATGATATTCCAGAAGGTTGAGCAAATGAGGTGCTTGAGGAGCTTTCTCAATTCAAAGCAAGAAAAAAATATAATTAAAGATAGTTACAGCTTTTAATGATTAAAATTTGTGAAATCACATTTTAACAATTTCAATTTGTAAAATATCAAACATAGTGTAAATAATCTTTTCAATATAATTCTTCAGTTGTACGTGCTAATGTGCATCATTCACTGTCATGTTTTACATTAGCTACAAGTATTTCAAATAATGGTATATTTTCAGCCTAAGTTCTTGAGAAGAAGCACTTGGGTCCCATATAGGTAGAAGTAATGTTTCTTACGATGTTACTCCTTGTTATCATTACTCTAAAATATGTTATTTCATATTAATTTCTCAAACTATGCGCTCAAGGATATTTCCTATTCACAAAATCACTTTTTTCATTCTCTTTCCCTCTCTATCTTTCCGCTCTATATACTAAATGAGGTCTTGGATATAGAGCATTACACTATCCTAATGATTCTCCAGGAGGAAACAAAGAAATGCGCATCAAAAGGGTTGAATCAATATTAATAGACACGTAGCAAATATATTCATCAGAGAATTAACCACATTAGCATAAATTATAGCACAAAGATGAATCGTAATGCTTGTAATAAAGTACTCAGGCATCATAGCACTCAAATATTTCAACTATCTATCTTTGATATCATACCTTGATCCATTTAAATTCCTCTCATAACCATCACCACTAAACGCTTTTGTAATTCCATCTAATAAATTGTGCTCCCATATCTGATGCTGGCCAGCCATGGCAATATAAATTTTTTCTTCCACAGGATGAAAGCATAAATCCCAAGGGGAATTGAGGAGCTGTGAAAAAAAGGAAAGATTAAAATGAAAAATATGATGGCTTCAATATATTTAAGGAAGGACGCAACTTATGTTGTTTTTATGCAATTGATGTCAAGATATCCAATATATACAAAACAAACATGAAGTAAGACAAATTAAGGTAGGGTTTAGATTTTTTTTTTTTTTAACTCAAGTTCTCTAATAAAAAATATAATAGGCGGACAATTTTTAGAGTTCAACACCAACCGAACGGTCTTTCAAACATTTTCTTGAAAAACTTGACAGAAAACGCCTAAGGAATTCTACCTAAGTCTTGTCCTCAAGCTTATGTGTGCCATGCAATATTCAAATAGAAGCCACATGGATAGACAGACAGATAAGAGTGAGAGAGAGATAAAAGAACGTAATTTTGTGTTTCATCTAGTTATAAGCCATCGTAAACGTCAATTAACCTCAAATTTTTGCCAACCACATTTACCTGAGCAGCTCCTTTCCCTCCACCAGAATAGTCAGAACCTTTGGTCCCATTTCCAGCAAGCGTTCGTACTTTCTCATTAACAAAATCAATCTCTCTTCAAGACCAAAAGTAGACTTGTTAGGCGCAGTTTAAGAAATTGTCTCATTGCAGAGTATACTGGTAAGCACGCTCTGACGGTAGTTAGCACTAACAGATTTTGGTCCTCCCATGTAAAGGAATCTTACCCAGGTAATTTCACTTTGTATTTTACTTCTTCTTTTACCTAAGTATTTCTTTCTCTTTTCTGCTCTCACACAATTTCAGCTCCCTTCAGAAACGTCTAATGATCTCACCCGGAAGCCCACAGATCCTTCTTCAGAATTGGTAGGAAAAAATTGATACAAAATTCAAGTAGGATCTTAAGCCTGGTTAATAAATCTTGGTACCGTGCTCTTTGGGGTAAAATCAAGTTATCAAAGGGCGGTGAAACTGTTTTGGCTTATTTAAGTCAGCAACAAAACAAAGTAAAAAGAAAAGTTCTAAAGATGTCATATACCTTAAAGCATGGTTTTCAGTGTCTGCAACATAAAGGATATTTTGCTTTGCATTATAAGCAAGACCCTTGGAAAAGAATAACCACAAAAAACATGATGTGTTAAACATGGATCAAACAAACTAAGCAGCAACAACCAGTGCAAATGAAAGACTTGTCACAATGAATTAAGAATTTGATAAATTACAAGCTCAATTATACTGTACTTTTTTTCTTTTCTTTTCTTTTTTTTCCCAATTCATACCTGAGGGCGGTTAAAAGTAGCACCATCAAATGAACCATCCTGGAAGCCTTCCTCTCCACTGCTCCCAACTTGTACAACAAAATTCCCATCTAGGTCGGTTACCACCTAGTTTCCAAGCATGATCAGGCAGCTTTATAGTGATTTAGGAAATACAGATTACTTCCATAAGAAATGATCAGAGAGATAGAGAGAAGGAGAGGGAACTCACTATGCGGTTATGGTTGCTGTCTGAAATAAAAAGTCTGTCGTTAAGGACATCAATCGCTAGCTTTCCTGGAAACTTCAACGGAGATGTTGCCAGGCGAGGATCGTTGTCTTTCTCAAAACTCAGTGTAAGTGGTTTATTGTCCAACATATTCTGTTTTCCATAAAACAGAAGAGCTGCCTCCACGAAATCATCAAGATCCTATGCAACACAGGGGGGAAAAAAGTTACTCACTTGTACACAAAGTAAAACAATAGATAATAAGGATTGTACTTAGTACATATTTCATCATATCGTTACTGACAAGTATCCTCACTAAAACACGAAATGCATATTATTTCCAGTAATAACATGACAGGTACATGGTCTAATTGGGGAACCACATAATTATTTGCAAAAATCATACACTTGATCAGAATTTATTTAACCAGAAAACACAACGCTCATGTTTCATTTATCTCTTCGGTAATCCACTCTAATTGGATAAGAAAATCCTGGCCCAAAGGCAACAACTACATCTATTTGAGCAATGGTCAGACCATGACCATTAGAAGGAGCCTAACATAGTTGAAAATGAAATTTTCCCCAGTACCTTCTTGCGACCTTCTCCTGAAATTTGTGCAAGGAGATTACCATTAGGCCCAATGATAGCAAATGTTGGCCACGAATTTATGCCTAGCTTCCGCCAAAGATACATATCTCCATCATTGACAACCTGCATTGGAGACAAATGAGAGATCAACGAGAAAGGGCTTTCTTAAGCAAGCGGCGTGAGATGACAGCCTCAAGAGATGAGAGGCATAAATTGACTTGATCAATTCATAATAGAGGTAAAAGTTTAATTAGGTTACTGAAAACATCAAGTTTAATTGTACAAAACATCCAATAGTGTCGGGTCAAATCTTTTAATCAATTCTATGATTTATAAAAATCAAGTTAACATGGTCCAATCACTAACAAAAACCTGGAACTGCTTACGTGTAGCACATGGGCGACATTGTAATTCTTCCAAAGCACAGAATTTAGCTTACAGTAAAATTTTCAAAGATATAGGATGTAAACTTACTGCGTAGCCAGGATAAGTTGAATTTTAAAAGAATATGTTGCAGGAACTTAATGACACGAGACGGAGTAATCTACAATAACAAGAAACCAAACTAATACACAATAAAAAATTTTCCTCAGGCTTATTAAATTATCGCGCAGGTTGCCCAATATGAAGCACCGAAGCAGACAACGAAGGCTGTCAGATATAATTCTTCATAAGCCAAATAAATGAAAAGTTTCCAAAATTATCACAAAAGGCAAACTACCATATTTCCCAGCAAAACACCGTGAAATATACATTCCCACTTCAGACTTACTGGATGAGTGATGTCATAGCGGAGCACTGCATTGCGAATGGCTTCAGAATCTTTCTCGTTATCAAACTTTGCAGAATGGACACCCACAACGACAAACTGAGACGACATAAGGCAGACATCAGATAACCGATATCAGACGACGTTCGTATTGTGTTGCAAAAAGATTAATTAGAAACAGATCTTGTTATTAACACAGAAGAATATTCCACAAATGGGCATGTCTCGAAGAAAAAGAAAAGAAATATACGTAAATGGAAGCATAGATAACTACGACATTTTCACATCTTTTTTCTCCTGAACTAAAACACTTCCACCGCGCTAAGATTAAAGGAAAGAATAAACGCTCCGCAATCCCTTGATTTTCCTATGGAGAGAAATGATGGGCCCTGAATTAAGAGAGTTTTACTTTAGGAAGCATAGACGGACAGGAACAGAGCGGACAATTAGTTAAAGAGTCACTATATATCATTTTCTCTGACAGTTTTTGGGAAGTGTTAGGCATTCTGGGTCAGTGGACACTCGGAAACGAATTAGTCGTAGTGTTTCAGGTATGGGGAAGTTTATAAGGCAAACGAATTAGTTAGGAAAATTTGTTTATTGCACTGTTGAATCTCCATCTCTATTTGAAGATAACATTAAATATAAGCTGCTTGAAGTAACATAATCTACTTGAAGTTAAGGAGAAAACGATGAGACCCCAAATGAAATGCCGAAGATTGTATGATGGGGCATGTTATACGGGGCCCTAATACTCGATTTATAATAATACTATCACTGCACAGACGCTCATTCACTTTAGAAGCAATACAAGCAACTATTTCCTAAACCTACAAGTCTACAACACTTCTAAATTCCTCATATCTCTTTGCATTCTATTTTCATGAGGCTCCTCTACATATATAAAGTAAAAAACTTGTGCCCAGCTCCCTGGAAGGTGGAAAATTTGTGAAAGACGAAGAAAATTCATGGCAGGTTTGAGGTTTTTTTTTTTTTTGGGGGGGGGGGGTTTTACTCCCTTTAATAACGGTTTGTCGGTTTCTACAGGCCTCAAGAGATATTTAAAATCTGATGTAGATTGGGGTTTCCAGGGGAAGCTATATCACACACACGCACCCACACACACATAAAAAGCTGCAGAGTCAAGGATAGTCATTGATTAATTTAAAGAAAAATAAGCGTAACTTCATTAAACAGATTATGAAAGCCATTTATCTCTTATTTTCTCTGCATATGACAATGCTAAGCACTTTTTAATTATTGAATAATATGTTTGTCAATGTTCAGCAAATACCAACCAAGACACGAATATGCATCAAATACCAAATAAAGGATGTATGAAGGCATGAATTGGAGAAAGAACACTTGCAGTGGAAAAATCTAGAAATTTTGATCCTCGAAAAGAAAAGTTTCATAACCAGTGTAGTATGACATCTGAAACTGATAACAAGAATTGTACCGGCATATTTTTGTATTTCTTTTCCAGATAATCCAGATCTGGTAACACATGCATACAATTGATACAACAGTAAGTCCAGAAATCCAGCAGAACCACTTTTCCTCTCAGATCCTGCCAAAAGAAGTAATCGCATTCAATAGGTACAGATATCATTCTCATGAGATTATAATTTAAGTTGAACAGAGTACCCTGCCAAACTGAAGGGGGGATGTATTCAGCCAATCAAGTTTAGGCGGAAATTCTGGAACAATCTGAGCATTTCCCCTTAAACAGTAAAAAGAAACAAATTATATTATAATATCATAAAAACACAGTAAACTTCCTTTATATTAAAAGGCACCCAATTACTTTCTTTCCACTGTCAACTTTGACATAGGTGGACAGCCCGGTGCATGAAGCTCCTGCTATGCACAGGCTTTGGGTCCTGCTATGCGTGAGAACCAAAGGAGAGACATACTCAGATAATCAAAATAAAGAAATCACATGAGTATTTGAACTTTCCCTCGTGCCCTCAGACATAGAAAAGAAATTAATTTTCGCACCATAATAACAATGAGAGATTCTTCCCTATAAGCAGCTACGACTTCCCTATAAGCAACTACGACTCTTGGATGGTAACAAGCACCCAACTTCAAAGTTAACTTACATCCCCTTCTTCCAAAAAAAAAAAAAAAGGAAGGTATAATACGAAAAAATCAACTGCAGATGATATTACTTTCTGGATAGCATTTTTATATGAAAAATTAAATAAATGATGTGACTAGCGTGACAAACTGATAATCATTAGAAAAACATGGGTAATAAATCACTATTTACCTGGCTTCCAGATCGGCTATGTAGTTCATAAATTGCTGGATCCTATCAGATCTTGATCTGCCTAAACCAAAAAAAAAGGGGGTAAAATCATGGTGCTTACTTCATCGTCTTACCCAAAAGCAGTGAGAAAACAGAAAAAGAGGAGCATTAAAAGAGTCATTACTGGTGAAGATGACCAAATATTAGACTTATCGTTAAAATATAAGCTTCAAAGGTCCTGCCTGACAGCTTAAGTTTCTAGATCGGCCAGCTTCTTGAAATGACCAGAAAGATTCCATTATTTCATGTTCCAGAATTAGAACTCGGAACTTAGAGACAAGGTGCGTTTCAACCATTGTCCAACACTTAGGACTATGGCTCTGACATCCAAAAATATAAATAATACCATCCATGGACGAAATTAAGAATATAGTAAAAAGAGAAAATGTACAGCTTATGATTAGATGTAGATAATTTCTTTCACAGCATGCGATTACCTTCATTTTGCTCCAAAGAAGGTTGGCTTACACCAAACAACAGATTCCAAATAGCTTTAGGGGAAGCATACTGCATTGCCTGCAAAAACCAGTAATTCTAAACAATGAACTTGCACCCTCAGAAAAAATTAAAATATAAAAGTGAAGATTCTGGCATATATATGCATCATTCACGCTCTGCAGCATATATTGTGCAATATAATCATACCTTCCAGTTATTTACAGCGAAGACGAGGCAAGATATAGCAATACCCAGGCTTCCAAATCTCATTACATCTCGTCGAGAACCCTGCAACCTGTCCAACAATAATTTCCATGGCCTCGTGTGATAGTTACCCACATTATATCATTCCTAGGGAACGCATTTAATAGGAATTCTCCCATGGGTACTTGTTATATAATATTATCATTATCATCTTGAATTAAGACATATATGAAAGCTTTGGCTGAAGTCTAAAAGATCAGACGTGGGAGCACCCTATGCACTATTATTTAGGGAATTTTGCTTCCCCTAAACTAACCTTAATAAATGCATCATCTTTTAAAGAGAGAAAGGTTAATAATGTTAAGACGAATCCCTGCATGCAAGGGGCTATAAAATCTGGATCAACTATGCAAAATCTCATATCCCGAGGCCAAGTGAACCAACTTATTTTATTAATCATCACGCTTAGAGGCATTATTCTTGATGTTTTCTGTCAGACGTTCAATAAAAATTGTGATTGAAAAATCAATAAAGAAAGCAAGACCACAAGAGGATTTATTAAAAAAAAAAAAAAAAAAAAGTCAAACATTATCAGGTGATCAGAATTAACAGAAGTTTGGCTAACCATTTCCTAGGAAAAATCTCCCCATCGGCACCACTTGTAGTCTTGCTAAGTCCGTCATATGAATTTCCAGCAAGCATTGCGGTTGAAGTTTGAGTGGAATCATCAAAAGACTGTGGCCCCTGCATCCTCTTATCTGCAATGGCATGTCTAGATAAGACTTCATGCAAAATAGAATCAACAGTACGAGCATTATCCAAGAACAACTGTCTGCAAAATTACTATCTTGACTGAAAAGTTCAATTTGATGAAAACATGCAATATGATATTCTTAAGCATTTTTCCCATTGATAAAAGGGCATTGTGATACAAAGAGTATCCAGTACTCCATTCTGTAGCTTTACCATTATACACCATAGGTGATAGATAAAGATGAGGATTACAGCAAACTCTCAGGACTACATACTATGGCCAATAGAGCCACCACTAAGAATATCATCAAGTGAAACACTTCCTATATCATCACGGATAAGTGTTGGGTCTGCAGATTCTAACGCCTCATCTGATAGTGTGGTCCTGACTGCTATGCATCTGCGAACAACAAAAACAACAAGAAGCTGACTACAAAGTAGTTTCATAGTTATACTCTTCGATTGCATGAACATACACTGATTTTTGGCCCCAAGAGATTCTAGTTTATGTAGGAAACTTTATGTTTATACTCAAAATACCTCATCTGTGCAGCTTTAGCAGCCTGCACTCCGGCCAATGCATCTTCTATAACAATACACTGACAAGAGATTGAAGAAGATTACTTTTGGCAGAATGTCAATGCTAACTTAAGACAAAATAGATTCTACCGTCCACACAAGAATATTCAACTTCATAGTAAATGATAGCAACATCAAATCACACAGAAGCAAATATTCAGTATTTTTGGAACTAGGCCAGCAAACATCATAATATACCCGTAGCTCACTAAATCTAGTTCACAATTGCAACATTCAAAACCTCAAAGAAAATTTTAGTTTATCAAGAAACAAAGTCAAGACAAAAATTTCCAATTAGTTGAGAAATTTCAAGAAATTTATCATCATTATAAAACAACGAACAGTTTGATATTCTTCTTGACTTGTGTTTGTCGCTATATATTTCTGTTGTCCTACTAACAACAACACACAGCCACCATTTAAGTTGACCCCCACGGAAAAAATAAAGAATAAAAATGGAAACCACTTGCAATTTGCATCTCCAAAGAGCACGTTCAATTTGTATACCTCACTCGGGGGCACATTCAACATTCTTGATGCAGCCAAAAACATATCAGGAGCAGGTTTCAATTTCTCAAAAGCGTCTGCAGACAAAATGGCATCAAACCTGATAGGGGAAAAACACAGGCAATAATAAGAACAAAATTGATGCTAAGTAGATCACAACTTAAGTTAACAGATTAAGTCATTCTTGAAAACTAAGAATATTTTTCTTTGCACTTTCATCATCAAAGTCTTAAAACCAATCTTGGCATACAATATGCGGTACACACGCATTCCATCTTGGATTATTATGGTCTTGTGAAACAAATAGAAGATATGTATGAATGAGATGTCCAGCAACAAAAATAAGGAAAATGGATGAATAATGGTATGGAACTCCCACCCCTTCAGCGATCTCAAATATGTCGACATCAATAATGTCAATGGATAGTAGAGATTACATAAACACTATCACACCCATTAGATTCTATCCATTTTTCCCTGAAGAATTCTCCATGATATATCTCATTCATGCATAATATCATAAAATATAATAACAAAGTTCTGGCTGCTACTTAGTAACAGCGACCAATCTGAAAATGCATCTGAAAATGTCAGGTTTGGATAAATGCCCCATTGAGGTTATCACAATCTTAAAAATGAAATTTGTCAAGGGGAAAAAAAATCAATATTGTATATAATTCCTTGGCCAATTAAAATATGTCTATAAAGATCAATAGAAATTCCCAAAATTAAAAAGAAAAAAATAATCTCATTTCTTGTGTCAATATCTGAAACCCTCTCCCAGGATACATACACTGTGGAATAACTCATATCAAATGTCAAACTCGTAACTCCTCATGCAAAACCCGCAAAAACAAACAAGAGCGGTTTACTGAGAAATAAAAAAAACATTAAATTAATGACATGACTTGCACGTGAGTAATAGTTAAATATTATCTCCATGAGTCCATGAAAATTCAATAAGTCACGCAGTGTGTTTGCTTACAATGACGGTGGTAAGGCAGCAGCAGCTAGATTTGCATTAACCTTTACACGGTCAGCGCTTGATGCAACAGCAACTTTAAGGCCTTTTTCTTTGCACTGTCATATGGTAGCAAGTCCTCTTTAATCCAATTGACAAGGGACGAGGTGATCAGATAATGTCAATCGTTGCTAGTATTACATACCTGAGAAATTAGTTCAAGGGCACCTGGGAATCCAATTGCAGACTCTGGTTTTGCATACTGTGAGAAGAAGTAATAATTTAGGCGAAGTTACTTAAGACTAAAAAAATCAAAAGCATCATCAAGTGAAATATAAAATATAAATTGTGTACTTTATCTAAATAGATTTCATAGAATCTCTTTTTTGCAGCTTCTGTGTCAAATCCTTTAACTCCCTTGAGAGAGGCAACAGCTCCCAAAAAGTTTGCTTCGCCTGTCATGATTAAAGGATGAAATGAATAATAGATAATACAAAAGGCTCTTCAATCAAGCTTCACAACCCAACAAAGCAAGTAATGTTTGCCCAAGAACATGATGTATCAAAGCAAATGAGAATCTCTGCGAAAGCTAAAATACCAGAGGAACAATTAGCACAAGTTAACTTCGAGAGATGGTCGGCTAAAATTACTGTTTGATGTCTCATCGAGAGCGAGAGACACTGAAACGAAAATCAGTTAAAGAATTGGACGGCAAGGAAATCAAAAACCAAGAAAAATACCGGTTCCCCTGAATGGGATAAAATCCTCCCCAGTGACTTGGACGCCCAGCTCTGCAAATACATCAACGGCCGCTCTTCCGGAAATGATTTCACTGTTGCAGAGTACACCATCCATGTCAAACAACACAGCAGAAACCTTTCCCCATTCACTTGCAGAATTTTCTACCGCACCTTTCTCTTCCACATTGACGCAAGCTTTCAGCACCAATCTTCGAGACAAAATGGTCCGTTTTGATCTACAGTGGAAGGATCGGAGGAGAGGGAGTGATATAGGTCTCAGTGCTTTCTGATTGAGAGGGAATAAGAAGGTCGTTGTAGGCCGGGATAGGGAGGAGTTGAACGTTTTCGAGGCCATGGGCTCAACCGATTCTGTTGAGTGGGCGGGGATGGTATTTATTTGTAGTTTTTGTGACCGAGATTGTCCTTGTGTTTCTCTTTATCCTGGTCTGGTTTATTTGTTTTCTTGGAAATCTGGTCTGTGGCTCTGACACACGAGTCGAGGATTCCAGGGGTATTCTTGGATTTAAATTTTTGTGATAGGTATACGTTATCTCCTTTCGTGGCCACAATAATTTCCCGTTTTTATACTCCAATGCGCCGCGCGCTCTCTCTTTTGGCGCGTCTTTTCTCATCAGCCCGTTAGAAAGATATTTTTTTTTTCTCAGCAATAATTGTTTCTCCCTTCCGTAATAATTACTACCTCTGCTCCTTAATATATAATTTTATTTAATTTTTATTATAATTTTAAATATAAGATTTCAATCTATTTTATTTTTATATTTATAACTTTTTTTTAAAGATAGTCTTTTTAATAATGATAGTCTTTTTATTAGTAAGGATATTTTATGAAAAATAATATCTATTTATTACAAATAACTAACTTAATTTATTTTTTTAATCTCCTCAAATTAGTTAACTAGCTCTTATATTTAGGACCGGAGGTAGTATTATACATGTGTGGGTATTTTTCAAGTGTTTTGTAAAATGTGAGATGCATTGCATTGTTTATAATTTATAAATTCTTCAGTGTGTTATGAATTTTATGTTTAATTATTATCTGTTTTCTTTCCCTTTTTTCCATTTGTCTCCAATTCTCCTCTCTCTTAATTTTTTACAATATAAAGAGTTATGTGCAATCACATTTATATTATGTTTGGTTGTGAGTAATTTTTATTGCTATCGTTACTAATATCATTATCAGCATGGGCTAATTCACAAATAGACCGTGTATTATCTGTTCCGGGGCAGAATAATTCTTTTGACTGTCTCGAATCCAAGATCGCTGAATCAGATTTTTTTTTTTTTTGGTCCAACGCTGAATCAGATCTATCTATCATAAAGTTTGGAATTTTCTCGCAATTACATGATCGATTATAATCACGTATTCCGATCATAATTGCCTGTTAACACCCTGTCAGGAATCAAATGCCAGGCCATCTTGAAAGCATGTCGCCGTTGAAGTGAGATTTGATGGAATGATGTTATTTTGTTCGGGTAAAAAAAAAAAAAAAGGCCTTGCTGACTCAACATCTGACATAATTAATTCAAATTGTTTAGGATGAATTCATAAAATTTAAACTGGAACACTCATTTGATGTATTGAGCCCCATAATTTTACAGGACCTTATATCTGATTTGGCTTTGATTGATTTTATCATGATTTTTCTTGAGCAGTAAGTGTCGAAACTTGAGTAATTATCCATCTAGTCATTACACGACTAATGAGAACACATTCATAGAATGGTTATTTTGTTAGTGAGATATTAGCTACTGTATATAAGTTAATCAATGGGCAGATACTATTATTACGACCATCTTAACGAACAGCAGGAAGAACCCCCAAACATCTCAGTGAGTAAAGGATAGAACCGCTCATGATTGATCGAGTCCCAGTCTGAACTTGCGAGTCTAATCACCTAACAATTTATTACGACGCAAGCATGCTTGTCATAATAATACAAAAGGCTCTTTTTTTGCAACATTGACAAAAATCATAACATAATGAAGGGGTGACGATGAGTTAAAAGCACGAGATTTTAAACCAAAAAAAAAATCAACAGCACAAGAAATTCTTAAAAGGACGAACCTTCATGCGCTTTGAGAAGTTTAGCATATCGACGCGGGGAACCGCATCTTCGCCTGGGCCCCCGAAAAATAAAACCCACGGATCTCTTCCACGCCATGCGGTCCCCCGGGCCCCACCAGGGGCAGGGAAAAAAAACCACCGCCCTCTCTCCGCCTCAGCATAATTACTTGAGAGAGATAGTTAACATCGGCACCCAACAATCACAGATGCCGCTAGTAGCCTACTAGTATAAGTGGCGGGGATTTAATGGAGATTCACTCCTCCAGTTAATTAACCTTTTTTAGCTATGTATTTACTCTCTTTTTTTTGGCTAAATACAAATATCTTCTTATTGGATATTCTCATATCATCAGGCACTTTTTACAGCAAGAATTCAAAAAATTCACCATATTATGGGAACCAATCCTTTTTTGTTAAACCCAACTCGTTGATAATTGTTTTTTTTTTTTACTTTGACATGATTAATTAAACTAGTTATAATAGAAACTCAAATCATTATATGCGTATATTTTTGCGGACCAGTTTGTCTGGCGTGATGGTGTTCATCCACGTGTATTTGTTCTTTTGCAGAAAAAAATCAAATACAGTGAGGCCACTCAAAACCCGAAATGGACGAAGCCACGAGAGTCAGGGGAATAATAGAGTGGTGTTTAAGCAAAATGTTGGGGTTCAGGCCCAAAGAAAGCCAAAATGTTGGGCAATGCCTACATCAACCCACTGACGCAGAGCGTATTTTGTTCACAGCTACACATGCATTGATTGCCATTATCTTTTTTTGCATAGATTAACTGTGGCTTCTATTGGCAAGAAAACAAAAAACCATGGCTTATTGTTGATTAATAAAATGCATGATCAAAAAAACCATAGCCTCTTTTACTCCTCTGCGCCCCCCTCCCCAAAAAGAAAAAAGCTCAGATCAACGGAAGATATGATAACTCTCTTTGTCAGATCAAATTGCTACTAGAAAGTCGACACTCATTTTCATTCTTTTTCCTATTTCGTAAAATAAATATCCAGGAACGGTTAATAATATTACGCTTCAAGACCGAGCCTAAAGTGCCCCCTTCCCCCGAATATCCCTCCCCCCTACATTCTCTCTATATTTTCCTCACTGAGATTCGGGCTTAATTAGTTTAAAACGTGATTAGTTGGCATAAAGACTAGGCAGTGCTGACACGTGGAATATTAACGTAATACAATTAACACACTAAAGTCATTGAAATTAAACGCCATCATATAACGAGGCTCGGATATAAAACCCCAAACTTGCTTATCGATTCATCTTCCACCTTCATATGTGTGATCATTTTTATCCCCAGCTAGCTCCCACCACCACCGCATCAACTGAGAATGAAACTACTTCCTCAACTAATCTTCCCTCTCTTTGGGCTCATAATCAGTCGATCATTGTGGGTTGGTCATAGTGCGGCAGGCGATTGTGGCGGGAATCAAATTGCTCATACAATCACTGTTGGTCGATCAAACGGTCAGTTCAAAACAGTTCAAGCTGCAATCGATTCCATAAGCAGCAACAACGTTCGCTGGGTCAAAATTCACATATATCCAGGCAGATATACGTACGTATGTTAAGTTGTTATATTATATCCACTAGCTAGTAACCAGAAATTCTTGCGTGCTTCAAATTTATAAATTTAACCATTTTTAAGTTGGTTTTATGAAGATATTATTGAAATGGAGTAGAGATATATATATTTGTTGTGCAGAGAGAAGGTGCAGGTTCCTTACGAGAAACCATGCGTCTTCCTAGAAGGGGAAGGCAGAGCCGTTACGACAATAACGTACAATAGCCACGAACAAACAGATTCCAGCGCCACATTCTCGTCCATTCCCAACAACGTCGTTGCGGCCGGCATCAACTTCGAGGTCAGGTCAACTTATACGTGCATGCACACGGCAATAATATAGGATGAATCGAACTTTTTATTTACGATTCTTTATTGTTGTTGGGTGCAGAACTCGTGGGATCTATCAGCAGCGTCGTCGGACTTGAATCAAAGCACAGGAGGAAACCAAGTGATACAACCAGCACTGGCAGCGAGAATATACGGGGACAAATCTGCATTCATCGATTGTGGCTTCCTGGGCTTTCAAGATACACTTTGGGATGTACAAGGTCGTCATTACTTTAAGAATTGTTACATCGAGGGCGCGGTAGACTTCATTTTTGGCAATGGCCAGTCCTATTACGAGGTAGTAATAACAGTAGGATGACGATAGCTCAACAAATATTCATTATATTCTTTTAATTTCTGACTGTTTTATTTGATTGACGATGGGCTTCGTGTATATTTTGGCGTAGAATTGTTATGTGAATGCGTCGTTGAGCACGTCAAAGGTTCATGCGGACTTGGGTTACATGACAGCACAAGGTCGAGGGTCGAAGGAGGAGGCAAGTGGGTTTGTGTTCAAAGGAGGTAGGGTTGTTGGAACTGGTCCGGTTATGCTAGGAAGAGCCTATGGTCCGTACTCCAGAGTCATATTTCACGAGACATATTTGGATTCAGTGGTTGCTCCTCAGGGATGGGATGCTTGGAGCCACGTAGGACACGAGTCAGTTTAACTTAATTCTTTCACACGTCTTAATAATATTACTATAACACGAATCAATATTAAATGACAAGTACTAATTAATTAGCTTGACAACAAAATAATGCAGGGGGAATTTGACGTACGCGGAAGTTAACTGTACAGGGCCAGGGGCGAGTTTGGAGAAGCGCGTGCGGTGGGAGACGAAACTCTCGGCCTCGCAGCTAAAGCAGTTTTCGTTATCGTCCTTCGTAAACCAAGATCGGTGGCTGGCGAATCTACCTTGCCCGACCTAGTTGGTTCTTTTTAGCCCTGTAATTAATTTATGTTCTTTTGTAACCCCTTGTGATCCATTAATCAAGACATTAATTGTTTCTTTTGCCATGCTCTCATCGTCTGGTTTGCATGCATATGTAAATTCTCGTTCAGTCTCTCCGAATTTCAATTGATATTTATTATTTCGAAGTAAAAATATCGAAACAATGAAGATCAGAATATAATATCTAGAAATAAATTTTGTTTATACTATCCCTCGTTTTATTGTTATTCTTTTTTCTTTTGGATAAAGGTTTTATTGTTATTGTACGCGTCGCTTCTTTTTTCGTTCTTATGTGATTGACGCTGCTAAAATTTCTGTTAAACCAGGAATCTGTTTTTTGAAAAAATAACGAATAATTACAAATATTAATAAGTCAATTTATCAATTTTAAACTTCTATGTCATACGTCAGTATAAAATAGACCGCGAAAATCTATCCGATTTAGGTTACAGTTGGGAAATTCCTATTTTGCATTTATAATTGAAATTTTACTTCTTTTGGGATTTCGTATTTACGTTCCGAGACCTAATTATTATGAGTTGCTGATACTAGCGGGCTGTGTGTTTATGCGGCGCATGCATCAAACAAGACCCAAAATGACCTTTCTGCGTGATTAGAAACGAACAAACTAATATTTGCCCGCGGGCAATAAAAAAGTGGACAGATTAAAACAACCGCCAGTGGGAAAAAGTCAACCTGCCCCTTTTCTGGCCGAAGAGGGGGGAAAAAACTGCCACTTCATGAAATTGATTTAAACTAGAAATCTCCCACAAAATATACGAAATTGTGCTAGGGTAGATTTGGATTAGCGGTGAAAAAACTGATTATTATTCTAACTAACTTTTATAAGTATAAGTTAGGACAAAAGTCAGTTAGTATAATATGCTTTATGTTTGGATTGACTTTTATAAAGAAGTTAATTTAAGAAGTTAAAACTCATTTAAAAAATTGATAGAAAAGTAAATTTAAATGTGAAATGACTGAAAAGGATATGAGTTTTATAATATATTATATAATTTGATAATTCTTTAAAATAATATTAAAATTTTAATTACAAAAAATAAAAAATTAATTCATTATTAGAAAAGATTTTAAATACTTTAAAAACCTTTATTAATTGTTTTTACTTAACAGAAAATACCAAAATAAATAATTTTTATTAGTAAAAACTAATAAATATTTTACTAAAAATATATAAAATAAATAACATAATAAAATAAACAGTGTGATTATAAATGAAAAAAATGCAAAAATTAAAAATATAAGAATCAAGACGAAAGTTATGACAGGGAAGCTGCAAAAGTTGAGGATGAGGACAAAAATTATGAAGGCAGAAAAGGAAAGAGAAAAAGAACAGGGAGAAGGAGATGCAACTAACACTGGGAGCTAAAAAAGGTAGCTTCTATGATCTAAGCTTTTTTTTCCAGAAGCCAAATGAAAATGAAAGTTGATCCAAACAAACTCTCATTTTTAATTACAACCGTATGCGTATCTCAAGACATGTTTTGAAGACAAAATGGTGATCTAAGTCTATTTTTATGCAACATATTACTTCCTTAAAACATACTACCTCCAGTTATTAATATAAAAGTTTGTTTAACTTTTACTCTGATCATAAATATAAGACCCTAATCCACTTTGTCTTTTATATTTATCTATTTTTTTTCAAGATAATCATCATAATAACAGAAGTTATAGTAAAAACACTTGATTAATACAAATATTGAAAGAAAGACATTACTTATTTATTATAAATAATTAACTTAACTAATTTTTTTAATCTACTAAAATTACTCAACTATCTTTTATACTAAAGACTAGATGGTGAGTCCAAAAAAAAAGAAAGACTAGAGGCAGAATAATTTACAAAGACTTTTTAAATGAAAGCAATAAAACACCAAGTAAGAATCAACATGATTTTTTTTAAAATTTTATTCATTTTATAATTTTTCTTGCCATGTCTTTATAAACAATTTTTTCCGGCCTCACAATCCGTTTGGTATTTTTGGAGATAGATAATGGAAACTGAATGGTGCAACGGCGTTCTTTATCAGTGGAAACTGAGTAGGGCCCAGTGAGAACCTGCGCGGGTTCATTCATTTTTTGTGGAATCCCCAGGCTCTACTTGGCACAATGCCGTTCCATAGGCCCCTTTCCGTTAAAAACAAAAAACCAAAAAAGGTCAGGTTGCGAAAATTGATTGAAAGATCCCTTCGCATTTCTACGTTGAAAAGGCTCAAGCCCACTTGCGAAATGCAATATTCCCTCCAAGTTCAGAACAAAACTACCTTCACTAAGATCAGATGAGGTCGCTGAGGCCGAACTCATCTTTTCGCGCTATCCAAAATGTCAATCCCACAACATTATTGTCCATGGAACAGATCGCTGGTTTAAAGAAGGGCGATAATTCTGATGAACATTGACGCAATACGTAACACATCGAGGAAAGAGCCGAAAGGTTCCACTGCTTCTGGGACTGCATGAGTATTACAAACGGCAGAATCCATGGTTATTGCCCCTGATGCCATCTCTACTAGTTCTTTCAAATTTTCCATTTTGTCGTCTCCGCCAACCTCTCGAATTCGCTACCGCTTTCCTTCCATCCGATGGTTGAATCCCAGACGGCATTGTGTCTCACGCAAGCACGCATTACTTGTCAGGTCTGCATGCTATTGTCCGTAGCCAAGTAAACTGACGAAAGAAAGGAACAATGCTCTTCGGACTCTGTATTGGTTTTTTTTTTTTTGGTTTTTTGTAATCTTTTATTCTTCTTGAGTGAGTCAGTCGTGGATGAGGGGTCTTGTAGGAACAGAATTAGCACGTATTTTGTTCTTTTGTTGTCCCTTGGAACTGGAATGCCGCTGGGAAGTGTCTCTAACAGCTATATGTTATTGGCTGTCCTGCTTCCTATCAAATGTCTCAGAGGCCAGTGGAGAGGAGAGTAATCTATTTTTATTATCTTTTTTTTTTTTTGGTTTAGTTGGTATTATTTTGACTTGACATTTATGGAGTCGGGCACGTTTCCTCTCTCTCGGTGCCCCTCAATGTTTAAATTGATAGGGCAATACTGCCATGTGCCCCCATAGAATTAAGTTCAAGCCCTTCATCTCTGAGTTAGCAGATCTTTGGTTCTCATGTTGTCGATTGGAAAGCAGCCGAAGTCTGTTCAATACTTCATATGCTATTGCTTGCTCCTTCTCCAAATTTCTTTTGAGGCTGGAGAGCAAAGTGATAGAATCTCATTGTTCGGTTTATTCTTAATTTAACCTGACTATTACAGGGAGTTAGAAGAACGATATGATGATAATTTAAACTTCAAGGAACAATATATTAGCATGACTAGTTGGGCGCAGTTCAACTTTCAAAAGTTGTCTTCTGGATTTCAAATTTGATCTGCTTGTATTTACAGGTTTGAGAATTTTAGTTCCAGATGTTCAATCACGGATACGGATATATGTTTAGACCCTATTTCAACTGACGAGATTCAAGGAGAATGCTCAACGGTCGAAACTGATCGTCTAGTGCCAATCGTTCAGCTTAAATCAGATATTCTCCCAACCGAATCTCTGAACCTATTGACTGAGGGCACATATGCGGATAGTCTCTTGACAGCATTACCTGTAGGTTATTTACTTCACTCTATCATGTTCTTCGAGCTGGTCATACCATTTCTCATCTTTCTATGGTCTGCTCTTCAGGTTTTGTCAGAAGAGGAACAACAAACCCTTGCAGCCACTCCTGCCCACCCATCCGGATTATATGGTGAGATACTTCCAACTTTATAAACTATAACTACAGCATAGCTATTTTCCATATCGTCGTGATAAATCAATCACTCGTATTAAAGTCAATCAACTGAAGCATCAAATTGAACCAAAAATTTCAAATTTATATTTGTAAACGCATTAATAAAATTTTTCAAGGAAAATTATTTTGAGTAGGCACAATTCTTTCGGAGTTAAAAGGATCCTCTGAGTTGTCTTTTTTTAATTGTTCCTTGAGTGTAGGAATAATTATTTTTCTCTTAATTTTCTATAGACATATTTCTCTAACATTTTTCATCATATTTTGGTTTTCATTGCTTTCCTTCCTGAATTGCCACCTATATGCATTTATTTTAGATAGAATTAAAAAGCTTATTTGCTCATTATGAGGTTTCACACCTGCCCTTCTGAAAAAATAAGCATGCATCGGTGGCATACAAGATTTCAATTCGGCCTGACGTTGTAACCTCCTAACAGTAATGAATCTTTGTGTTCTGTTAATCAAATTTAATCATGCTTCGAGATCTTATTGTGTGCCATTTGGTTCAAAGATTAGTTGGCAGCTGAGTTTATGCTTGTGGTCTTACTATTTGTCATATGTCCCGGGGATTAATTGATGGCTCTGAATCTTTATTCATCTAAGAGGTTCCTAATCTTAGGCTTGTCTTGTGTTTTAGCTTTCTATTGTAGCTGCATAGCCAGAAATTTAGTGGAACAACTATGGAATTTTGCTTGGCCCTCGACCATTGCATTGATCCATCCAAGCCTTTTGCCTGTTGTGGTCATGGGTTTCTTTACCAAACTTGCTACAATTGTTGGAGGTCCAATGGTTGGCAGCGTTATGGATCATGTGCCCAGAGTACAAGCAAATAATTTATTGAATATTGTGCAGGCAAGTTGGTTGATAAGAAATTTACCATCAGATATATGGTTCCTTCTTAAAAGGTTTTTTAATCTAACAATTATTAAATTGTCAGGCATCTGCTCAGTTGCTATCCGCAATTATGATCATTCATGCCCATTATATTCGTCCTTCTTCAGTGTCATCCCTGCTTTTACATCCATGGTTTATCACACTAATGTCAGCAGGGGCTATTGAGAGGCTATGTGGGGTAGCTTTAGGGGTTGCAAATGAGCGAGACTGGGTGGTGCTGGTAATGTCATTCATAGCCAGCTTCTCTTGTTTCCCCTTCTTAGTTTTCAGAATAAAATTATTTTAAATTACATGTTTCTCTAATCCCCTTTGACTGTTTTCTTTCAACAGCTAGCAGGAGTGAATAGGCCAATCGCACTTGCTCAGGCAAATGCTGTTCTGAATCAAATCGATCTCTTGTGTGAGGTCCTTGCTTTTTTCCCCCAAAAAAAAGCGCTAAATGGATTAACCAGCTTATACATTTGCATGTTCTCAGTGTAATATCCGTTTTACAGATAGTTGGGGCATCGCTGTTTGGAGTCCTTCTTTCTATATTTGATCCAGTGACCTGTTTGAAAATTGCTGCTGGCTTAATGATGGGACTGTTGCCTGTTACCGTAATTCCCCTGATTTTTCTTGTCCTGATACTTCCAGTTGTTGAAAGACGTATTCATTTTTCGCATTGACACTCTCCATTCTCATGTAATAGATTGCTCTTGCGCGATTGGCCAACAAGCTTTCGACGAGTGTTCTTGACCGGCCTAGATCTTCACAAACCTGTTACAAAACATCCACTGAAGAACCTGAGCCACGTCACGAAAACATAGGTCCTTTTGAATTCGTAAATTCATTGAGAATCGTATGGCCAAGTGGTTATATCAAATATACTTATATTACTTTCTGCTGGGGATATCAGTGGCTAAAGGGGTAGAAGCAATCAAGCTAGGTTGGAAGGAGTATCTGGAGCAGCCAGTTCTTCCAGCAAGTCTTACTTGTGTGCTCCTTTACTTCAATGTTGGGCTTACTCCTGGCAATCTGATGACAGCATTTTTAACACAGCGCGGTGCGTGAATTCCCCCCCCCCCCCCTCTCCTTGTGCTTTAGAGCAGGCTTTAGTACCTAATTTCAAATCCAAAAAAAAAAAAAAGTAATAATTTCTCCACTTTCGTAATTCACTATTGCACACCAAAAAAAAACTTAATAGTGTTCATGCTCGAATGTTTCAAGTTTAATGGTATTTTTGGATTATCGAAAATGGAGGGGAAGGGAAAATAAGTGACAATTCAATTTAAACATTTTGTTTTATGGATTTGAAGTGTTCAGTTTATGCCACAGCAACAGACAATTCAGTTTAGAATTAAATATCCCTTTTTTCTTCCTTTCTTATCCATTATCTGCAATCCAAGCATACCTAGGAGACAAAGACTAACACAGTTTATGCCACATCAACAGGCCTACACCCATCCATCATTGGAGGATTTAGTGGATTATGTGCTTTGATGGGTGTTGCTGCTACATTTGTTGCTTCAACACTGGTCAAGCGATTTGGTCTTTCGAAGGTTTCTTCTACAATTTTCCCTCTGCAAATAGGCTAGTATGACAAGTTAATTTATTCGCAGTCCATAATAAAAGCAAGTGATCTCTCTCTGGCAGGCTGGAGCAATTGGATTAGTGTTGCAGGCTTTGCTTCTTAGCATGGCTGTTGGTGTATATTGGACTGGAGCAGTTTCTCGACAGACCCCGCTTATTTCCTTCTTGTGTCTGATTGTAAGTGTATTTTATTTTGTCACTAATAAGATAAGTATATAATGATAAAATAAAGTAGCTTAGTGCAGCGCTAGGACAACAATCATGATGTATGGGTAAAGCTGGCACGAGACAAGTGTAGCATTTTTGCCATATTGAATTTGCAAGTTAGTCGGCTCCGATGAAACCATAAACTCTGATAAGATACTTTTAGTAGAACTTGCAATTGTTGGCAAACAAGACTCGAAGTTTGGACTAAGTGGAATGGCATTTTTTTTTAACTTCATCTAAATCAAGTTTATTGTAACAATTGTCCTGAGTAGATATGTTTGTCCATGGCTTAAGCTTTATAAGAAAGGAAGCAATACCTTGGGATGGTCTCAATTTGCATAATCTGATGATTTGGGGAGTATCCTACACATAAAACTAGTTATCATTGAAGTTTTCCGCTGAAGATATGTATGCATATGTGATCATGTATGCAGATATTGTCAAGGTTTGGAAATATGTCATATGAAGTTGTGGGGATGCAGATTCTTCAAACGGGGAACCCCTCCTCCAAAGCAAATCTCATTGGGACAACAGAGGTTGCTGTTGCTAGTTTTGCAGAGTGCGCAATGCTGGGAGTTGCAATGATTGCAAATGATGTTTCACATTTTGGAATTCTGGCAGTGTTGTCTCTTGCATCAGTGGTTGCTGCGGCTTGGATATTTTGCAGATGGTTGCTGAATGGAACTGATGACCGGAAAAGCCTTTTCTCCTGTGATCCTCACTTATGATTTTTATGGAGGTATCCTTTCATTATCTAGTTTATTGGTTGCTAGCATAGTTTATGAATTTCTGTGTCATTTTTAAGGCCCCTTTCCGTGTCACTCGTGTCTACATGCATATGGAAGGGGCAGAGAATATGACATCTTCAAGTGCACTAACTTGGTTGATACTGAAGACATTTAATAAATTACCCACTTCCTTGATTTTCTGCATATTGGTCTATTACTACTTTAACTATCCCTATTCATTGCACCTTCTGTTTGTGACTTTGTGCAGTTGTTCCGTTCGACAAGAACGCGAGCCAGAATACATATTTGAATTTATTTGATATTGCTGGACGAGGAGGGCTGGTGAAACTTTTTCTCCTCACCAGGTTATTACAAATTAATAGATAGGCATTGCTCGTGTGAAAAATTAGAATAGGTCCAACGTATGTTTTTCCTTATACGCATCGTGATTATAGTGCACGAGGCTAATAATCAATCGAAGTCTAAACAAAATAGAATGTGTGAAAATTGACAGGCTTGATGTGAAATGAAGACAAAGCGAGTACATGCACTGGGATGGTATCCGTACCCTTCGCACTGGGTCTCGCTGGTCTTGGCCTTCAACAGACTGCACCCCTTATTTTAACAAGTATCACACGCGCATTTCTTCTCTCCCCGTCCATATAAGCATCTTTTAAAAAAAAAAAAAAACAAAACAAATATTATTTTTAGAATATAAGATTTTGCTTGTAATGTAATCTATGGTATAAATTAGATTTTTAGAAGCTGACCTTGAACTTAAGTGATGTGGGCCAAAAAGCTGCTAATCAATGACATTTGTTTATTTATTTTAAAACAATTTTTTTACATAAAATAAAATTCTTGTTTCTCTTTAAAATATTTAATTAAAACTACCAAATAAATGATATGAGTATTTTTTTAAAAAAAATTCTAAATAAGATATGGCATATGATAATTTCATTATAATAATCAACTAATTTAAAAAATAAATAAAGTTTGATGGGTTAAAAAAGCTTGCTTTTTAAGATCCAACTTATATGATTAGCTTTACTTTGGAGTTAACAACTTCTTATATGTTGCTAAAATAAGGGTGTGCATGAGTAGGGCTGAGCAGGGTAACTGCAAAATGCAGTTTGGTGCCTGGCCCTGCCCAGTAGAAGCCCATGCTATTTCCGGCTGGGCTATTGCTAGCTGGGCAGGGCAGATTTTTCTTACCCAAATTTATAACTTGAGTCGTGAAATTGTTGTGTCTTAATAGATATCCATACTTTAACAATTTAACAATATCCATAATTTATTAAAAACAAGAAAGTAAAAAAATTGTAATCAAAGTCTTAAAGTCCAAATAATTTGCATCAACCTTCACAAAGTTGAGAAAATAACAAGACATGTAAAAAATACAAGCTATATTAACATGTTCAATTATATTATTAACTTATAGTTTAATATAATTTATAGAGATCTATATATTACATTCAAATTGGTATAATTAGTATTATTTCATGATATATGAAGTAATATCAACATATAAAAGTTAAAAAAATAATCATAGTACACAATAAGATAATTTTAAAAAGTTAAAAAAGGTGGTGTGTTTTTTTTTTAAAAAAAAAACTAGAACTTTAAAAATATAAAGTCTAATAATATAAGGGAGTAATATTCCTTTTGCGTATTGAAGTATAATAAAATAGTGTATTAATATTACATTATATACATTATAATTCTAAAAAAAATATATTATAATATAAATAATTATATATATATTTGGGGCAAGGCCAAATGGGAAGACCTGCATGCCATGCCTGCTAACTGGCCCTGCCCATGAATAGCCCAATCCGAAAATACTCATTTTTTTTTTCGGGCTGTGTTTTTTGGACTGGGCAGGGCATTTTTTTTTTACGGGCTTGGACGAGCATACCGGATTACTGGGCCTCATAAACACCCCTACATTAAAATATAGGTATCCTCCTATATGTTTTACGGTATGACATGTTTCATTTGAAATATTGAGTTTTCATTTATTGCTTTAATTAGTCATAAAACTTTTTTAACTAATTAACCAAATTTCTGTGACTAATACTAATTTTTAGGATAATTATAACTGTCTTAAGTAAAATAGTTAATTAAAGCTTATGAAGATGGCAAGAAAATAATTAACGCTTATAAAAAAATAGTATAAGTACTAATTTTAATTATTAATATAAAAGTTCGTTTGATTTTTTTACTTTGGTACTAAATATAAAACTTTAAGTTATTTTGTCTCTCATATATATCTTTTTTTTCATAATAATCCTTATAATAATGGTGGTCTTAACTAATATATTTGATTAGTAAAGATATTTTAAAAAAGAAAACATCTATTTATTATAAATAACTAATCTAATTAATTTTTTTAGTTTACTCAAATTAGTCAATTATTTTTTTTAATTAAGAATCTGAGATACTACTCTGGTTCTAAATATAAAACTTATTTTGTCATATAAATTTATACTATAAAATAAGTTATATATATAACAGTGGAAGAGTAGTATTTATTTTTTTATTTTTTCTGAGTGAAAGGAGTAGCATTTATTATCGTCGAGGAGAGAGTAGGTTGTTCTTGGGCAGTAAGAAATGAAGGTGTGAACTGTGAAGGATGAAAGCAGAAGAAGGGGCGGGTGAATATAACTAAACAAAAGCAGAGAAATGGGCCTTGGGCCACGCTTGCAATAAAGGGCAGAGAACGGGTGGAGAATAATACGGAAAAGGGTGGCGGGTACAAAGACAGGCACGTGGGACGGGTGTGTGGGCAGGGGGGGGAGTACTGCCGCCATCTTCAACTAAAAATGCCTCCCGGGTTTCTCGCGTGCTTCCTACGTCTTGCCCCGGTCGCTCTCGCGCTCTCTCTCTCTCTCATCCTACGTCCCCGTTTTTGTCCCTGTCTTTTCTCATCTCTTATTTCTAGGTCGGTTTTAAGGATTAACTTTTGATTTTGATTCTTTAAATCTTAAATCATAAATGTTGGTTTTTTACAGTTTTTTTTAATTTAAAATATTATTTTGTATAATTCAGATCATCTCATAAGTGACTAAAATTAAAAAAAGAACAATTTGAAAACTAAAAATTATATTAACCTTATAATAATATTCATATATTTTTTGGTCATTTCAAATACACGGGCATTTTTTATTTTTATACTGTTCATTTTTATTATTGTATTATTTTCAAGGAAAAATATCATTGATTGAATCAAATTAAACCATGCAACTATAATAAGGTAAGAAGAAAATTTAACACAAAAAATGGTAGCTGTCCAAAAATTTAAACCATGCAGCCCAGCTCACTCTACGACAAAGCTGGTTTTGTTTTTTATTTGTAGCCATGAGCGCACGCTCTTTGGGCAAGACGAGAAGAAACTAGAGTACATCCTTCCACAGGAAACAGGCATGAAGCATGGAGCCAAAACTCCTCCAAACTCCTGCCTTTGCAAAGCATCCTCCCACCTCAAGTTGTCACATTAGATCAGTAAACACGTCTGTCATCCATTGAATTCAAAATTTTCAATTCACACCCAATGATCTGGCCTCTATTATTAAACAATAACATCGTAGGCAATCACAATCGAACAAAATAATTCCAAAGCAAAGATGAGCAGACGCCCATGGATGCGCTCAAACAGTCTTTTATTTTAGTTTACATAAAAATATTTTTTTAAAAAAAAGTACTTAAATCAAACACCTTCTTAAAAAAAAAAAAAAAAAAGCGTGTGGGACAATTGAGGTGGCGATTGATGAGAGATTACAAGCACCGCTGTGGCTGTGTGTCTTAAATTTGTTTGGTAAACAAGCAGAGAGGAACTCACTTCCCGAAACTACAAATAAATTGCGGGAAACAAAGCACCGCACTTCCCCAAACGCCTTCAGAGAAGACCCATTTCTGGATCTCCATCCAGCCACCCCCTCACAACTGGCTCTCCTTGACCCCACACCATGCCTTTTGATTATTAATTGATAATATTGACATTATTAACTGCATTTACTGACACCTCTAATAATCATATTTACTAGACCCGTCCTCCCCCCATTTGCCGTGGCACCTCGCGCGTGCATGCTTGTTTTCTAACTGTTCAAGTCACAGATTTTTTTTGGCCACGTCCGAATTAACACTGAACAATGTTCTTACTGTTTTTCCCCCCAGAAAATTACACCCGACTGTTTTATGATATGCTGTCTTCCAATTCAAAATATAAGATAAATTTTATCTATTTATTTTTATCAAATAATTAGTTAAAATCAGTTTAAAATAATAAATATGTAAGGAATGTATTTTTCCCCCTAAATATGCCATTATTAATAAGAAAAATAAGTAAAAGATGTAATAAATAAATTAAAGAGAAAAGAGAATATAAGGGGTAAAATTAAAAAAAAAACTCATTAAATACTTAGACAAAAATAAATGTTATTTTACTAAAAAAAAGACCAAATCCTTCCAATAAAATTTAACTTTTATATCTTAAACCGGAGGGAGTGATTTTTTTAAACCAAAGCCATAATATCAAAATTTGAAAATGTTTAAATATATATAACACATTGATAAAATATTGGTTCAATCAGATTTTTCAAGTATTTAATAAGATTTCCCTCTAAATTATCTCAATTTACATAACATCACAATAACCCTGTGGCTGAAACTCGAAGCGGTACGCTTACGAAACGCCCCCCATCCCCAACCGACGCTGTCAAGTGTCAAAGGGCCTCAAACCCAAAACAGCTTCCTCATCATTTCCAACGACCCAATGCCCCACACACCATCATTTTCAGTTGGACAAAAGCAAAGTGAGGAACTCATTATTTTAAAACATTAAAACTCACAAGTCCATCAGAAAGAAAGCATCGACTTGATTTGAGATTCCCTCTTTCTCTCTCCCCCTTCAACTTCAATGGTCACATTCCATGATATTACACTACTAGTTCATGTTCGTCCACCTCCCCTCATCTCTACGTCTCTACTTTCTCCCAGTGACATGTGCATCCCTCCTTGTTTTACCTAAGCAAATTCCCTCTCCATTTTTCTTCTTATTTATAATCTGCGGCTCGTTTTCTCTTTCTACAGTGACCGTACCGGGCAACATTTATAATAAGAATATGAAAATATTATGTTCTTTTCACCACAGCCATCTGTTGCTGTTGGTTGCCACAGTGATTTGGACTTGAAAGCGCCCATCTTTTCATGTCTATTGATTTTGATAGTTGATATATCACTTGGCTTGTTGATGTCCTCTTTTGACTCCCTCCTTCTCCCTTCCTCTTCCTCTTCCTCTTCCTCTCTCTTCATCTTTGTCAAGCACTGTCTTGAAGCAATCCTCAAGTTTTGAAACTTACCTCACACGCACAGAACAGAGTAAGGCACAGACACAGGAGTTAAAAAAATGGGCTCTCTGGGAACTGAAACTTCAAAGAAAGCAATGTGGCTATATCCAAAAGTTTTGGGGTTTACACCTTCTGAAAGATGGGGGCACTCTGCTTGCTTTTCCGTGGGCGTTGTGTATGTCTTTGGGGTATGATCAAAATCTTTTTCTTTTCAAGTTCCTGGTAGTTAGTTCTAGTTTGTTCTTAGCATACATAGTCATTCTGTGAAATTGCTTCTTGATTACCGGATGTGTGTGGTGCTCCTGAGTAAGTAGTGCTGTCTCTTGACATCTGGAAGTTTTTTTCTTCGTAGAATAGGATGCTCATTTATTTCATAACCTCGCAGTACTATGTTCCCATGTTCTCTGTCATACTGCTATGTTTGGCTAATAATCAAACCACTTTCTTCTCTGCATAGTAGTTTTTTCCCGATTTTTCTTTCGACCTCTGGTTTTTTTTTTTTTTTTTCTGCCAACCAAGTTCAATTTTCTTTCTCTATTTAGTGGGACAAGACATGGTTTCCTAACCATGGTCTTTCTGCTTTTTTGCAATAGAAATACTCACGTTTACATTCTCCGTTTCTGCTCCCCCTTCACTCGCTTCATGTTTGTCGACCTAACAACCACGCATGTAGGAACTAGGAAGCCAAAAATGCTTCCATGTCGTCCTACTTCCGAATTCGTTCCTGGTAATTTGAGCATTTCAATGTTTGTAGCTTAGCTGTCTGTTGTCCCCGGATAAACGGGTTAGTTATGATGCAGAATTATAATTATAATGCTCTCTGTTGTTAAATAGCAGACCTATGATTCCCGTGCATGCACATTTCAGGGGTGTTGCGGAGGGCTTCATTTCAGCGATGTTCTGACTTTGGACCTGAACAACATGACATGGAGCAAACTGGCAACAACCGGGGAAGGGCCTGGTCCTAGAGATAGCCACAGTGCTGTTCTTGTAGGCCATAAAATGATAGTGTTTGGTGGCACAAATGGCTTCAAGAAAGTTAACGACATCCATATCCTAGATCTGGCCACCCTTGAGTGGGTTCGTCCTGAATGTAAAGGGAACCCTCCTTCACCAAGAGAAAGTCACTCTGCTACCCTGTTCGGTGACGAAAGATTAGTGATTTTTGGTGGTAGTGGAGAAGGTGATTCAAACTACCTAAACGATTTGCACATTCTAGATCTTCGAACCATGAGATGGACTTCTCCAGAGGTAAAAGGTGACTTGCCTGTCCCTAGGGACAGCCACACTACTCTCGCAATTGGGAACAAGCTTTTTGTTTATGGAGGAGACTGTGGTGATCAGTATCATGGTAATGTAGATATGCTGGATCTGGATACAATGACTTGGTCAGAGGTACGTATGCTGTTAAATATCTCCCCACCTTGAAAATTAAAGTCGCCTCAACTAGAGGACACTTAACAATAATCCTGGTCCTCTCTGCATTTTAATGACAGTTGACTGTTCAAGGACCTTCCCCTGGTGTAAGGGCAGGGCATGCTGCTGTTAATATTGGAACTAAGGCAAGTTTTGATGATGAATTTTAGTACCACTTTAATTAAATCTGTGTCTTCTCGTCAAATTTAGCTGAGTGTATTCTTCATGGTTCACATGCAGGTCTACATCATTGGAGGGGTTGGAGATAAACATTACTATAATGATGTTTGGGTGTTTGATATCTGCACTTGTTCGTGGACTCAACTTGAAATACGAGGTCAGCAAACCCAAGGGCGGTTTTCCCACACAGCTGTTGTTGCTGACATGGACATCGTAATATATGGAGGGTAGGTTCATTACATCATCTTATCGATCTTCATTTTTTCTCTGTCTTTCCTTCCTGTTCACTTACTAATACAAATAACCCTAATTTAATTGGCAGGTGTGGGGAAGATGAACGTCCTCTGGATGAATTGTTAGTGTTGCAGCTGGGAGCAGAGCACCCAAATGGACGTTACAACATCTCTGTGAGCAAAGTTTTTGGAAGCTGTTGGAAGAAGACCTGCTCAGGCGGGGCAGACAGCAACGTGGTACAAAAGTTCACGTGGCTACAAAACAATTTATTAACAGTAGTCTTACTAATTTATGATATACTATGCCTTCCCGAAGGAGCTAACAGTGTCTTTTTAAGCAGAAGACAATGCTCATGGGGAGTAATGTGGAAGGTATAGGAAAGGGAACTTATGATTTCGCCTCAGGGAAAAAGCAGCCTTTCCACTTTGAATCCGGTGGGTTAACACTTAATAGACACCCAGTTAAAGAATACTTGTTTACGCAATCTTTGGTTGACTTTATCAATGTAATTCTGTTCAGATGCTTCCGAACAGAAGAGGAGGAGAATTGTTGCTTCCAAGGTGTGGGACGTTGATTTTGACCAGGAAGAGCATTCTCTTTCCTTGTCCCAGCATTCATCTCCGACTCAATCCGATCAAGAACTTAACCCTGCCCAAAAACCCACTGCTTCCACCACGGACTCCCAGCGATTCCTTACTTTCAAACAGTTAAACCAAATGCCAAACAATTCCCAACATGACAGTGCTTCCATGAACCCAAAAGTACTGAAGAATTCGAGCCATATGAATCCCCTGGGCTTTTATTATCTAAAACAGCACCGCCATGTTTATGATGCAGAGCACATGCCCTTGGTACGAGGGCCCATCCAACACCTGGTACTCACGGGACTCACTATCCCCCCCCCCCTCTCAGGTTTTTCTTTATCAACTTGTCGTTTACTTGCTTGTGGAATTTGAATTCTAGATTGGCGCTGAAGTTCGAGGGAGAGTCGACGGGGCCTTTGACTCAGGTTTGCTGATGACGGCCACGGTGAACGGAAAAATTTTCCGTGGAGTCTTGTTTGCACCCGTAAGATTCCAAACTGGGACGATTCGGTCATAGGCTGTATCAGGTTAAGAATTAAGAATTACTAGGGAGTCGAAGTTAGTGGGAATTGACGGGGAAAAATAACATGTGCAGGGAACAGGAACAGTGTCAAGAGGGGTCAGTATGGAAGCGAGCGGTTGGATGAATGGTGCGTGTGGGATGAACTCATCATCAAATCAGAAGGGGGAGAATGTGAGGGGTAGCCAGCGGGGAAGTAGTCGTTGCAGGCCTGAGTTGTGTCAGGCGACTCAACCATTCCCAATGATGAGAGCGAAAGGCGCTTCGTCTTTTTCCAGAGAGGAGAAGATGATGAGGAGCGATCTCAGTGGGTTGGCTCTGACGCTTGGAGGACCTGCCAGTGGCCACCACCATGCCGGATCATAAACTTTTCCCCATTTTGCCACTGATCACTGCTGCTATAATACTATGTCCTAAGCTCAGGAGCTGTGAACAAATAATGCCTTTCCATAGAAGACCTGGCGTGTGTGTGTGTTTTTGGGAATTCCTGCCATGATCGGATCCACCATGAGTTTGTGTATTAGTCATCTGGTTTTTAGGGTATATCTGTGCTATGATCATAACCATAATGAGTATGGTACCACCGTGAGCTAGGAACTCGCTCCATGCATGCACACTCTAGTCTTTGAATTCAATCGATAAGAGTGAAAAACGGTTTTGTTGTCAAATTGAAAAGAGTAAATAATTGGGTGAATGTTGCATTCAATTCCTTTGAGGAGGAGTGAGCGGATCCTTATGCTCGAATTGTTTACTCATCCTTACGCTTCCTACGGAAATGAACTAAATTAAATTAATACGAGAGTTGGGACTTGGGAGCTGGGTTTTACATTTGAAGAGAAAATTGGGAGCCTGAGGGGTTTGGAAGAATAAAAAAGAGAGCGAGAGGTACGGCGGCGATGTGATTAAAAGTAAAAGGAGTGTCAACCAAAACAGTATGGAGCACAAACTGGCAAGACGTAAAGGGAAAAGGGGTTAAAATGTATGGCGCTCTAGGCATCTAAGTAACATCACATGTGCTCTGTTACTCTCAAGGCAACTGCATTTTCGTGACCCCTGATTACTACTCCGCGGTTCCTTTTTATGAGTTATGAATTCTTGAATGGTTTTATTTTCTTTTTATATAAACTACGCTGAAGAAATTCTTAAAAATAAATATTTATTATCCATGTAATTTGATTTTTTTTATGGGAGAGAACGTATTTGTATTAATGAATAAATAATTATTCCAGTATTGTTATTGTTTCCAACTCAGGAGTATATAAAAATATCTCTTTAAAAAATAATAAATGAAAGAGCAGAGGGGGGGAGACTGGCACAGAGAGAGAGAGAGAGAGAGAGAGAGAGAGAGAGAGAGAGATTCGCCCGTGCATGCCGCGCGACGCTGTCGTGGTGTCTTCTTGTAAATTGGAAATGCAGAGATGAGAGAGAGATGTGAGGAGTTGCGTCTGTTGTGTTTTGAATGGACTGATTGATTGATTCATCGTGTGCCTGTTTTTTAATAGATTCAGTGGTTGTGCCTCCTTTATTATATCATTACTCCTCTTTTCTCTCTCTCTGTTTTTTAAAAAAAAAAAAAAGATAAGTGATGTTGACGGAGAAGAGACACAGCAGACAATCATGTTGACGTGACTGGGGGCCTCCTCCTTGCTCGTGTTGCTCCCGTCATCCCCTTTTCTCTGTTCTGCTTTTTCAAACTTACTTTCTTGTTTTTTTTTGGTCCTCATTATGGGCCTTCCTTCCAGTGCCCTGCCAAGACCTGGCTTTCATTCTATGCTTCCCGTTCTTAGCCCACCTTCATGTTTGGGCTTCAATATTTCCCATTTTTAGGGAGAATATGTTAAGGTGGTGTTTTGTTCACTCCAAAATCACTTTTTCATGCAAGTCTAAACAAAATTTTTTCTCACATACTTATTTTATATACCGTAAAATTACTTTTAGAATTATTATTTAGTTTCCATCCAAACACCTCTTAAATAATTAAATATAATTGCCTTCAATAGTATGATACTTGTTACTTATCCGATTTATGTTAAATTACTTGGGTTGAAAAGCTTGACTAGTTTATGTTCATACTTTTTTAAAATTATATTTTATCTCGGATAAAAAAGAAATTTAATGCGTGCACTTACGTTGTGTTGTCTCAATGGGTAAATGCACACTTGTGTATATTCTGGTGCATGATTTTGCTTGCGTGTTCACACGTGGACGCATTCATATAAATGCAGGCCCATTAACATATGTGCATGTACCCACACGGGTTTGGACTGCACATTAATATGAATATCAACATCTAACACCGTTTATATTGAACACATTACTCGTGAATTCTTAACAGTGTAACTTTTTCTTTTTGATACAAATTAGCAGTGTAACTTTGCTTTCAAAAAATCATGCACCTCTCTTTAAAAAAAGAAAGAAAGAAAGAATCTGTACACTTACAGCGCATCATGCCTACAATATACATACACAAACGTGTGCACGTGGTAGGAGTTGAATGGGAAATCCGTGCATAAAAGGGTCTTGGCTCATGGAAGTTGAGAAACGAGTGTCGAGATATTTTGCGTATCTATTTCATTGTCATTAATTTATCGTCAATGAAAGTTTTATTTTTTCTTGTACTAGGGCGTGGCAATGAGTGTGTAAAATTATATGTAAAATATAATTATCGGAGTAATATGAATGTTTTTGACTTTACATTTACATTTAAAGTAAGTGTCCATGGTCAGTCCAAAAAAAAAAAAGTAAGTGTCCATGGATCCGGAGTCGCGAGAAATTTAGATCTGGAATCTTGAATGGGCTGAGTTCATATATTTCCGTATCTGACGAAACTGGCAATTTGCCTCGTTCCCCTCTACGTACATCTTGGGTGTGGGGAGCTATCAACCGATTTAAGTCAGAAACATACTGATCTATTTGACGACATCTGTTGGAAACTTCTCAAACGGGTGATACTGATCATCTGAATCTACCGAGAGGATTTTGTTTTTCAATGTATACAGATGTCTGAATAAAAATCAAATCATGATTTTAAAAATGATTTTATCTTCGACAATTCTATGTTTGGTGTTTGGGGAGAATTCGTACACAACAAGCGTGGCCACTTTCATAAAAACAGTTTAACTATAATTGCTTCACTCAAGTGATGTGTTGAAGAATACATGCCTCGTGCTGGACTTGTCTCCACAGTCGTCTTCCCTTTCTTTTTCTTTTCTTTTTTTTAAAAAAAATCATTTGACTTCGTTTAATTAAGAGATGGTTTTGCACATTTCCGAGTGATGTTTTTTCATTAAAACCACCACAGGAGGTTGCATTGTTAGTACTACCCCCACTCCTTAATCATATATTCTTAGAGATTATTTGACTTTTATTTTAATTATAAATATAAGATCCTAATTCATTTTATTTATCGCATTTTTTAAAAAATATAGTTTTTATAATAATATTAGTTTAAACTAACACACTTGATTATGATATTTTAAGAAAGACAACACATATTTATTACAAATAACTGATTTAATTTCTTTAATCTACTTAAACTAATCAACTAGTTCTTATATTAAGGACCAGAGGTAGTATAAGAGCTGGTTTACTGTTCATTTGGTTCTAAATTTAAAATTCCAATCTATTTTGTCTCTAATATTTATCTCTTTTTTTTTCTAAGTAATCCCTATATTAGTTGGATATTTTAAAGAGTTACTATCAATTTATAATTGAAACACACATTACTAGTAAGGAAATTTTAGAAAAGACTGTATTTTTTTATTATAAATAGTTGACTTTTTTAATCTTCCAAAATTAGTAAACTAAATTTTATATTAAGAATTGGGATCTAGTATCTATTAATCCTTTTTCAACAACATTGTTTTTTTTTTCATTAAAAACAAGAAAGAAGAGAAAGATTGTTGGGCACAGAGGTGAATAGAGGGAATTGTGATGATTTTGAAATGTCTGCCCTCAGCAGTGAACTTTCGCTTGTTCTCAGCATATTTGGTTATAAGAGTGTCGTTAACAGATTTTTGCTCTCTTGAAACAATGATTATGTTGGAACAGACAGCTAAACTACATTGTATTATGTTTTTTTTTCCCTTGAAAGAAAAAAGCAAGGACTAAACTGTTAGTATTTGTTGTACAGAATATTAAAATATCATCTCTCTCCCTGTCTCGAATTTTGCTTCCATAAAAGCTCTCCGGGACCAAGCCTTGTTAGAAAATAAAAGGATGAGTTATGGATGATCAAAAGGGGTGAGGGATGATTGAATCAATTGCGCTACAAAGCACTCAGAGTCAAAAGAAAGAACGAGGTTCTTTGCAATAAAGCGGGGATCACATGGTAATAAAGGGGAAAAGGGAGCTTTCCGTTCCTTGTTCATTACGTTGCAGCTAGATTCATAAGACGCTGGGCCACGTGTTTGGAGAGGTTAGCCTGAGAACTGAAAAATGGCCGACTGGGAGGGAGGGGGGTGATTGTCTAAGTGGGATGGTTGTGCGTCCAGTCATCCCCGCGAGTGCCAAACTCTTTCTCGTCGCTTTCCGCCCCCACCTCTTTTACTTCGTTCGGTTGTTTTCAAACCTCGCCAATCACTTAATTCTTCTTGCATGCTTACTTTAAATATTATAAAATTATTTTTAAAATAACTAAAAAACAATTACTCATTAAGAATCTACGCGATGCCTTGCATCTTCTACATGCAATTATATCATGTCTAGCAACCTACAAATCAATTCATGCTCTAAATTTATAGAGTCTACCTCTTTATTTTTTTCAAAGAAGATCATCAAAAGTGAACTACAGATTTGTAGTTGTTGGTTTGTAATATGTTTTTTTTGGCTCAGATGGATTTGAAACAAAAAATTCCCTATCAAAGGAATCTTCAATTATAGGATCTTGTTGGAGCAATTACATATGCACGTTATGAATATGACATTTGATTTTAATCACACAAACTAAACAATCATTTCGTATTTTTTAAAGTAATTTTTACAGCTATATAATAGTACTTATTTTACCATTCATATGCCCCTGAATTGAATCAGCTCGTCATTTTTGCATCAATTCTAATTTTAAACGTGTAAGTGATAAATTTGTATTTTATATTCACTGATGTATATTACTGTTAACAACATAATCAATACTGACATCTTAATCAATATATATTAGTATAATCATCACAAGTATCTACGGAACGTGTAAGAAGTCTTATACTCATAAATGTGGAAAAAAAATTTGACTTATCGATCTCACATAAAAACATACTGCAAGACTACAAGAGTGAAAAGGTTTATATATCTTATAAAAACGTGAAAATTTTTTTTAATATATTTTCCAATAATTCTTACAATGCCGGAAGAAATATTGCGGATTTGTTTGGGATGACATATAAGCAGCTATCTAATAATAATTTATGAACAATAAGATAAGTATATGAGAGAAGTTTTGTTTTAAATCATGTAAAATGTGCTTGTTCAGTTTTGAAATAATTTTAATATTATTGCCGGTTCTTAATATAGGAGCTAGTTTTACTTTTAATTTAATTCTAAATATAATACTCAATCTACTTTGTTTATTATATTTATACATTTTTTAAAAATAGCCTTTGTAGTGAATATACATAATTAACAAGGATATTTTAAAAAAAATAACATCTATCTATTATAAATAATTAATTTAATTAAAATTTTTAATCTATTTAAACTAATTAATTATATCTTATATTAAAGATAGGATGTAGTAGAAATTTTCATTGAATTATATATTGATAATTATAATTATAATTTTCGCATTCCTAAAAAATAATGATTACTGATAAAAAAAATATAAACTGCGAATAACGTCGTTCATTCTTGGCCGCCTGGGGGCAAGGTTTGTTTAGGCGCAGAGATGGGAAGGCGAGAAGATACCCGGAGATGAAGCGCGGGGAGCTGGCGTGCAGAGAGGGACGGGGACCCACACAGAAGTGGGAAAACCAATAAGAAAGGGAGGAGCATCTGAAGCACAGTAGCACGTCAAAGTGAAAACCACGACTGGACTCGCACGCTCACTCTGTATATGTAAATACGGCCTATATACTACAGATAACAGCACGAACCTTCAAGGCTTCAGCTCCTTAACCTTGTCAAATCATTCCGCTGTTTTCGTCCTTTGCTTTTGATCCCTCCCACACAACCTTTTATCGGGAAAGAAATTTTTCCGCCCTTTGGCCTTGTCCCAGGTGCACTGGTCCTGTTCTTCTCCCTTCTCCCTCTCTCCTTTTCCCCTTCCCTTCCCTACCTTCTTCTGTCTCCGTCCATCTATCCCTCCGTACACACCAAGGATAAAGTTGTAGAGTTGAGCTCTCTCACTGGCAGCTCTTCGATTCTTCAACTTCAAGCAAACGGGTCTTTCGTCATATTGTTTGAGCGAAAGGCCTAAAGCTAATCCATTTCGTTTCTCTCACCTCATCTTCTGTGCCTCTTACACCTCGATATGCTTGCTTAGTTCTCGGCCCTTGGGACTTGCTTGGAATTACAGCTCGCGGGATTTCAGTCCAGACAAGCACAGTAGTTGTTCGGCGAATCATCAATATGGACCATGTTTGCAGGTTCAACACTAAGGAATCATCCCGTTCGGAAGATGTCAGAGTTGGTGACGTCTCTTCCTCTTCAGATCAGTTGCATCGAGCTCCGGCTGCTCATCACTACGTACAGCTGGAAGTGCCTGATTCGGAAAGAACCGGCCTTGACGTGCCGGACCAGTTCATCAAGGCCCAAATCGCCAATCACCCTCTTTATCCTAATTTATTATCTGCTTACATTGAATGCCAAAAGGTCATTACCTACGGTTGCTTAAAACTATTCTGGTAGTTTTACTGAATTAATCTTTCTTTCATGAGGAAAACAAGAAAGGGAAAAAAAAAACAAAAACAAAAACAAAAACTTGCGCTTTTCGTGATTAGTGTTTGATTTACTCTCACTAATTTAGCGGTGTTATAATGTACTTAAAGGTCGGAGCTCCACCAGAACTGGCGTTTCTTCTGGAAGAAATGAACCGTGAAAATCACCCCATCAGTGCTCAGGGTCAGATTGGGGACGATCCTCAACTTGACGATTTCATGGTATTAAAATCCACTTAGGGCATTTAATTTCTTCGAATTCCGAGTTTTGTTTTTCCTAATAACTTGGAGGCGGAACCTATAGATTAAAATAAAGCTCAAGTTTTTACAGTTTGCTGGATTCAAACCGATACACACATGCCTGTCGTTTTTACTATGCGTATATGTCGTTTCTGAATGGAAAATTTGAATTGTTGGTGCTTGATACTGCAAGGAATCATACTGTGAAGTTCTTCGGAGATACAAAGACGAGTTGTCCAGGCCCTTCAACGAAGCGACCTTGTTTTTGAGCAATATCGAATCCCAGCTCCACAACCTTTGCAAGGGAACATTAACGACCTCAACGGGATGTCGATCCGGTATATACCTGCTTATATAAACCCCTAATTCGTGTTTTACCTCAAGCTGTTCTCTCTGGTATTGTTTTTGACTCGCATCGTTTGTTTGAGAATCTTAGAGGTGGAGCTGGAGAGTTAATTTAAAGTAATCAATTTAATTAAATCGGATAAATCTTTTCTTTCGCTCGCAAACAGAAAAAGGATAAGTCTTTTCTCTAATATTTCTTTTATTGAGCTTGAATGGCCCTATTTTCGATGAAATATGCAGCCAACCTTGGATATTTCATTTCAACATTAATTAGAATCCTTACAGCGAGGCCCATGTTACCAGTGAGCTATTAAATTTGGGTAAAAGTTGTGGCCATTGGTTTGTTATGCGTGGTGTTAATTTCTTCTAATAGACATGAACCGTGCAAGTGTTTTTTTTACCCCTTTACTTCAGCGAAATACGTGGATATGATATCTTTCTCAATCGTAAACTGATGAAAATTAGCATCTAATTCAGAAAGTGTGGATTGAAATTGTGTCTGCATTACGTTGTGACTATTTTGGATTTGATATATGCAGGATGTTAGTGAGCGTTATTTAATTACTATGTAAGTTTTGACGTGAGAAATGAGCTTCTAATCTCTTTCTGAACATCCCTCGATGTTCACCCACAGGAGCTTAGTGCTTTATTAACCCTATGACATGCATGAATTGAAGATAGATGGGCTTTACAACATTTAGGCACCCTAAAGACCATGATACTTGCATTAAACCCTAATTTCAGGTCTGCTAGCTGGTGTTTTCTGAGAGGTTTATTGTTTTTCGGACTGAAGTGATTGCATAGAAAAATTAACCTTCGGCTCTGGCTGATGTCTTTAATTGGCATGTCATTGAATATATTTAATTGAAATGTATCAATTAAGGTTTCGATGTTCCGTCTTGAATTGGGCTTATAATCTGACAAAATGGTGACGCCATCCAGTTTTTCCTCCTTAAGGATGAGCCTTTCTTCTCCGGTCTTTCTCTTTCGCAACTAGAAGGCAAGTTCGTTCTGAGCTTACGAAAGAAGGGAACGGATTGCGAGGGGCAGATAGGCAAATGCTGGATAGTGAAGAGGGTGTAAATTATACGAACTTGCCTTCAAATAATTTGCGGGCACGAAGTTAGTCATTTACACAGCTTCCTATAAAAATTAGTCTAGTGGGTGAGGCATGTTGGTAGCTAAAAAGAAACAGATAGGAAAGTAATAACTGAGAGAGACGAAGCAAAATGCTTTTTATTGTCAAATATAAATGTTACATAAACTTGGGGCTGCATGAATGTGTAGAGGACGCAGGTGTGACTTCAGAAGAGGAACTAAGTTGTGGTGAGGTCGAAGGTGTCGAAGGTGCTGGAGCTTGTGGCAGTTGTGAAGCTGATAAAGAGATCAAAGACATGCTTCTTCGTAAGTACAGTGGCTATCTCAGCAATCTCCGGAAGGAGTTCTTGAAGAGAAGGAAAAATGGTAAGCTTCCGAAGGATGCAAGGATGATATTGCTCAATTGGTGGAACACCCACTACAGATGGCCTTATCCCACGGTAATATAATTACCCATTTACTCATTACCATAAAACATGCTTATAATAATACGGCATATGTTACAGTGTCTAATATAATGTTTTTCAACGCGCAACTGATCAAAGTAATGTTGGATCAGCGTCTTCTTGTTCTCGTCCTGTTATACGATGAAATGCTAATGTTTCTTGACCTTGCTATTATAGTCTCGGGGCTGAGTTTTGGCTTTTCCAATGCTAGTTTGGTATAAGCACACTGTCGTTGTATAATTTCATTGGTAGGGATATGAAAAGAAGTGCAAGAGCATTTGATGATAGATGGTGATTGTGATTTTGAACTAAGGCCGGGGACGAAAGAGACAAATAGTGACACTGGATATTGATTATGATATTGACATACTGGTTGGAACCTGATTGGGTGTTTAATTAAATTATATGTGTGAAAGCATTAAAGACTGAAAATGATGGGTGATGAGACATGCAGGAAGAGGAGAAAGTGAGGCTATCGGAAAGGAGTGGACTGAATCAAAAGCAGATAAATAATTGGTTCATCAACCAGCGGAAACGGCACTGGAAGCCATCTGATGATATGCGATTTGCCGTCTTGGAGGGTGTAAATGGGGCCCCCTTCGGCCCCCCTTTCTGCTTCAACGCTCCTCCTCCACCCCCTCCCCAACCTCATTGATATTCCTCAACTCTCCCAATCCACCCTTCTTCTGTGGTATATCTCTATACATAGATATGTATATATATGTATTTGCACTTGTGCTCCAAGAGATCAATTTTTGGGATCTCCACACAAACGTATGAGCTTCCTCTCAAATATTTGCTTGTATTTATGTTACGTGTACAATATAATGGGTGGCGGTTCCTCGTTCCTGTAATTCAAGCTGGAATCAGCAATAAGGGCCTAGCTAAACAGTTGTATACTTGCAATACGCTTTGTACTCAATTGTTGTGGATGAAGTTGTGATGCGTCCAGATTGAACGGAAGTGGTGGATATTACTACATAAAGATATCCATATCATAGCATGTATGGAAGTTGGAAAACGGAAAGCGTCTCTTGGGATAGCTAGGATGATATAGGCAACCGAGGTGGTTGTATGGTCGTGGATAGTAATGAGGTTTCGTCTGGTCTTAATTCCTAATTGCTCTGCTGCGTACGAATGTCGTAGGGTCTCCTGCTCTACGTACCGTAATATGAACCCTGCGTCCCTACCCTTCCCCCCTCAAATCTCACCATATGCTTCACTTTCTGAAGCGCCCATGAATTTTCTCGCTTAGTTTTCATACCTGCTCATTTCTTGTTAGTGTTTACTTAACCAAGGAAGAAGAAGAATAAGAAGAAGAAGCGAATGATTGGATTCATCGTAAAATTGAGGGGCTGAATATATTAAAGATGATTGAATTCATCACACGCATATATAAACCAACCAAACTGGTCGGTTCGATCGGTTAAAATCGAAGCCGGCCTGGTATCCAGCTGAAACTGAAAATCGGTGAACTTGAGAACTAGTTAAGAATGGGCTGAATCGGTCCTGAACGGATCAAAATTGACGAAATCGGTGGTTCGACAGGTTGGGCTGGTGGCATATTTGTTTTGATTTTAATTAATATTTTTAGAATACAATCTTTCATCTTCATTTTTATTATTATGAAGGATTATTTGTTTTATTCTAAGCATGTATTATTTAAAATATTAATTTATAAATAACTGGTTTGGTCATAGTCTGTTCACAGTAACGATGGCCCCAATGCTGTTATAATCGAGTTTCAAACAAATGGCAGAAGATAATCCTCTAAAGAAAACAAAAACCATGTTAAAAGTTGGGGTCATCTGGGGCGGGTCGCCCTCATTCAACGGCAAATTGATTTCTTTCACAGTCAGGTTCGACGCTTCCAAATTCAACATGCCTTTTTAAAAAAAGGAAAAAAGTTAACTGTATTATTTATGATATTGGAATTTTACGAATGCAACATGTTTTTATGTATGTCGAATGATTTTTTTTCAAATTAAGGTTACTCCATGTTTTAATACCAAACTCCGAGTCCATGGGAGAAATGAAATTACGTAGATTTTTTGGTACTATACTTTTCACGAATTCAGACGAGAAAATAGACATACAAATTTGTGATATGATGTGGTCTAAATTTGTAAAGTTTTAATGCGAGGGAAAAAAAATGAATGGGCTTTTCCATGGTTTGGGCCAGGCTAATAGGGAAATGATTGCGGCTGGACCTTCCTCAATCTCTTTTTCCCTCAGAAATCAACTTCTTTTCAAAAACCAACAAGGGTTGGTCTGAATAGTAAGAGATTCGGTTCTGCTTAAGTGAGGTCTTGAATTTAATTCCTCATTGATACAAAAAAACCCGTTGGGAGACTCACTTACTATACCTAGGTGCGCGACGCGAGTCAGATCCGAACATAGTCAGGGCAAAGCTCTGGTGAACCGAGTAGAGAACAACAAAAAAAACTTCTTTTCAAAAGCTTTGTGGGCGCCACGATAATTTTATAATTTATATGAATGCAACACGCAAAACATATGGGGAGTTTCTTTTTTTAATACGCTATGAAATTTATAGGGATTTATACTACTTATAACATGAATTTTTAATTTCAATCTTGGTTTTATTTTTATTATTATTTATTTTCCCTCGTATTTTCAATAAAATTAAAATATTAGGAAAATGAGTGTGGACTCCAAGAAATTGTTAAGTTATTGTCCCTGAAAAATGTAAATTTTGGGTGTCTGGTTTTGAAGTGATTGGAAATTGGAATGGCGGTGTTGTGTCGAAACGCAGTGCACGCTACCTGCGAAACCATGAAGCGCAAAACTCACGTCTTCCTCATCCTATTGTGGAAATAACACCCCTCCTCTTAAAAAATTAGTATTTGTGAGTTTGTAGCCAGGGATATGACGCTGTGGGGTCCCCCAAGAAAGGTCAAAAAGAGGGGGGGGGGGGGATTGTGCTGTTGGCCGCAGCTTCACGCGCGGATGAAACGTGGGGTTTGAAGACTGGGCCGTATTATTGATGGTTTACAAATATAATGGCTTGTTGGGCTTTTTATATTTGATATTTAATATTGCTTATAAATAATGTTGCTCCTATTTGGGGAAGGGAGACGTCAAAAAAGGCATGGAAGGTGGCATGTTCGCCGATGCTGATCCCAACACATCGGATGTTTACATAGATTTATTTTTTATTTTTAGTAGTTTGGGTAAAAACATGGGTAGTCAATTACTCTATATAATAATAAAACAAAAGACGCCCTCTTTGATTGGGATGTTAAGCCCAGATCATCACTCACTCTGAAAACTCAAAAGTCACCCGGTTAAAGAAATATTTCACTTGCTTGTTATGGAAAGTGAAATGAAATTAAAAAAAAAAAAAAATCTCCATCGACATGGTACCATAAGAAAAGGATCAATTAGCATCTTGTATTTGCATTAACCAAGTGTTTGGATAGAAACCAAACCATGATTTCAAGAGTGATTTTACGATATACAAAATAAATATGTTGAGGAGTTTATCTCGATTTGTAAAAAAATATTTTTCAAAAACACTTTTCATGACATTTAAACACCCCTTAAGATACCGAAGACTTTTGACACAAGCGTGTTTTCACTCCAATCCCATGGGCCTACGAAAACAAAATCAAGAGTTTTATAGGCTCAGAGCATCGTTGTCTTCCTCACGAGGCCTCAATGATATTTTCCCCTCCTCCTCTGCCGCCCATAGGCATCCATCCGTCAAGTTGTATATATTCGCTTCGCAATTTCAAATTCACAACACACACTCTCTCAAAATTTTTCTTATAATTTTTGTTTCGAAGAGCCGGTGATGTGCTATTGAATTATTTGCCAAGGACGCTCCTGTGATGAAAAATCCTAGTCACAACAATTCAAAAAATTTGCGACAACTACTACCTCTGGTACTTAATATAAAAACCAGTTAGAATATGAGATTCAATCATAAATATAAGACATTAATTTACTTTATCTGTTATATTTATAATCTTTCTCCAAACTAATTTAACTAACTTATAAATTGATATATATGATCTAATGTTTATAAAGGAATACCTTAGAGAGATCATGTTGCATTTGTTATTATTAAATGATTAATTTGGTTCTCTTAATCTCTTTAAATTAATTAATTAGCTTTTATGTTAAGAAATAAAGGTGGTATATGTGTGCAGCACGGATAACACGGGGAAGCATTATTATGTTCACTTTTGAATCCTGTCAATTATTAGTCTTTGAGTTTTATAAGCTAGAGAACAAGGTAACTCTGGCTGGGTTGCTTCTTTCGTGGTACCCTAATTAATGATTATAAGCAATATTGAAAAGAAAAGGTTACGTAGTTTAATGGAGTTTTAATTCCTACAAGCTCAGGTTGTGACACACACGTAACGATGTAAGATTTCGTGTAGAACCTTCTTATAGAATTCTAAATATCGATGGTCTCGAATTGATCTAAACAAAGTGTGTCATCTTTATTAGTAGCCGTCAGTACTCAAACAATGCACCAAAGGGTTTGTCTCTAATGGAGCTTCCTTCAATGACTTAGTAAATTTCCCCCCATTGATACCCCTTGAAAGAAGGATCCAACGTTGATATTGTTCTGCACTATCATATCAATGACCCGACATGTACGGCTTTTTAATTTTTACCTAAATGACAGGTGAAGACATTGCAGCAAGGAATCAAGCTTGCAACAATGCGACCTGTTTTTCTGCTGATATATTATAATAACGAACATTCATTCTGAAGGAGGTCTTTTGCCTGTAGTTTTTGGCCTGAAATACCCATCTTAATTCTAATTCCATCCTTTTAGTTCCCCATCATCAATTATTTTGCTTCCTCAAAGCAAACCAGTTAAGTTGCAGGGTGGCATCATCCGGGGGGGATGTCATTCATAAGTGATTAGGGCACAAAATCACTAGAATCCCTCTTTGAACTGAGCACAGATCTAGATGTGCACATATAGGGATTATATTCTGAAAGACCACAAAGGCATTGCAATATGGTCAACCGAAAGAAAGAAAAATAGTTACTGCAGGAACCAGATTAATACAGGAAGCAAGGCTAATATCAGAATCTACTATGCATCGTTGTCCATAACTGAGCCTCGATTGAAAGGCGCGCCCACATATATATGATAATAAAACCCAGCAAAATTCCAATCTTCCTTCTTTATTTCTTTCCTGCCTGCATTAAGTTTAATAAACAGTATGATATGCGTATGATTTAATCGAAGAATATTCATCATACTATTGCCTGGAAAACTTGTTTACCTTTTATGTTGATTTTATCGAACAATTACACATTTAGTGTATTTAAGAACTACATCGTATAACCCTAACAAAATAAATTTTTGCACTTTTCCTCTCAAATCACAATGAGTCCTCGATAGGGTGTATATGTCACCTACTTGCATTTTATTCCAGAATCGACACTGATTTGATGAGCCATTATAGTGAAAAGCAAGAAGATGTTTTTTTTTTTTTTTTTACCAGTTCTTTCATCAGGTTACAGTAAATGTGATCAACTTGCAGCTTGCACCGAGGACAACTTGCAGCTTGCACCAATGACAACATTTATTGATGAGCTGATAATAAGGAAATTAAATAAAAAAAGAGTACCCTTGAGAGTGCGGATCATCACGAAAACACATATAAGCCCCCTTTTTTTATTTCTTGAGAATTTTGAGACGACATCACGAAAATGATGAGCACTAGATGATATAGATATCATAAACGGGTATATCGGCAGGAAAATTAAACTAAGTGACTACTGGCTAGTAGCTACCGCATAGATGACCCAATTCCATGTAGAGAGACTCCAATCACATAAATATATGGCTAGAGAAATGAAGGTAGTGTGTTAGAAAGAGAGAGATGTCGAGTTTATTACGATGGCTGTTCCTCGACGGTCAACTCCTCAATCATATTCCCATGGTTGACGAGGGGATTAAACACTTGTATCTCAGAACACTTGTTTGGCAATATCATATTTGGAAGACCTTGCTGATCATTATGCGAATGCAGAGGCAGGGGATACTTCCGCGCGATCACAACAGAATTGATAACCTCATCGGTGGGATGGAACACAGAGAGAACCTCAAAGCCTCGAAGATCGTCGGGCTCAACCACAGGATACAGAAAAGCGCGAGCTCCATGGGCACTCCTCAGCATCAGGAGTGCTCCCGGAGCCATATGCTTAGCCAAATGATCGATCACCCGATTCTTCTCGTCATTGTCCATCCCCACGAGAGCCGCCAAATAAACAACCTCGTACTCTTCCAAGTCCTTGGTCACGTCCAAGATATCGCTGGTGTGAAAAACCATGCGTTTAGATAAATCAGTGTCGGAAGAAAACAAGCGAAGGGCCATGGAATTGGCCTGCGGGTCGATGTCATAGTTATGGAAGGTGGTGGTGGGAAGATGATTGGAGGCCAGCACAATCGAAGTGAAAGGAAGAGGGCCAGAGCCGACGAAGGCTATGTTGGAAGGGAAACGAGCGCAGTGCTGGGTTAGGATGGTGAACTCGAGGAGACCGAGTTTGAGGTAGTTGGAGTAATAAGGGAAGATGTCGAGGTGGTCGAGAGGGTTTTCGAAGGAGCCGAGGATGGTGGAATAGTGGGTCTCCAGGAGGCCTTCGGCGTCGCCACAGAGGCGAATGAGCTTGGACCGAATCTGCTGAAGGCTTTTGGGGAGCTTAGTGACATCGATAGGGTTGGGTGGTATGCATGTGAGGACGAGTTGGGTAAAAAGAGTGTCGACATTTTGGCAGGGTTTGAGACTATCGAGGCTCGAGATCTGATCATAGAGCTCGCAGATCTTTCCAATCAACAAATCTTCCTGGCTCACCATGTCGACACTATGAGCAGGGCTCCTTTGGTTTCTTTTTCACAGACTCTGCGGTGTCCCTAAAGAGAAAAAAGCTCTCTGGGAGCACACGGTGTTTGAGAATAGAGAGGGACGCTTAACCCTTGGGCAGGGCGGGATCTGTATTTATGCTCACTACTGGGTCCCATGTGGGCCCCTGGTGCTTTACGACCATTGGCTTACTGCCATTGGACGAAGGCGTGTGCAGTTTCATTTTGTTCCGCTTCGCCTAGATTAGAATCTAAAATGTTATCGCCTTCCCCCGTCCAACTATCAATAGTTCCGGCAAACCAAGAAAACAAATTCACAGACAAAAATATGCTGGTAGTGTCCTTGATAACAACTATTTACAAGAAAAAAAGTCATATTTGATTCTGACTTTTCTGTTTTTTCCCCTGGAATTAAGAGGTTTTGGGATGATATTGCTTTATAAATGTGTGCTAGCATGAGTGTGTGTGTTAGGGTTTTGAGAGTAGTCCCAGAAGATTGAAAATGCATCATGACGATCAATAATCCTGCGATGGGGATTGAAGCCAATGATCCCACCATGCTCATGGATGGAATGCGCATGACAGAAACTTAATGTTGTGTCATGCATAAATATCAGAGGATGGAGGGGAATATATCCAAGTCTATTTTGGCTGGAAGAGATCCAATGCTGGTAGAGGTTGAAAAAAGGGAATGAAAGAAAGTGGCTGGGAGAATGAATGTCCACATCGTTAAGGCCTTTCGGGGTCAAAAGCGCGGTAATAGTTCAGGTAATGAGAATCTCTCAAAGTCAATATCAAATATATTACCGGATGCTCCAACATTAATTGTTCCTTCCACCCACCATATGGTTACCTAAGAACTCTGATAATTGGATTTTACTATAAAATCGACAATAATATAATAATCATGAGACTTGCTGTTTTGGCAAGCTGGCAAGCCTGTGATTTTGTTGAGTTTAATGGCCTTCGTTTATGCACGTCAGCAACATAACACGAGGGTCGACGTTACGTTGTACGCTGAAATCGTATTGTATTTCATGATGAGAAAATTCTAATGATATTTTAAATCGAATAATTAGTTCTTTTTTCGTATATATTTCCTACCTGTGATTTAGAGACTAGAGTTGCTCATCATCATCGGCTAGTTGTACGTAGTAAGCAAACGAGAATATATGTGTCAGTGTCTGATTTGTTTAGGCATAAACAAATGGATCGGAACATGTTCTGTTGAGTGCTGTTTAAGCTACTATCAGCATCAATTCAGTTCACACTGGATAAATAGAGATAATATATATAGAAGGCATTATATTGCCAGTTTTATATGAAAACGATCGACGAAAACGCAGCGCCGCTCCTTAATATTGTCCCTTTAATTGACCCGATATGATGAAGAACGCAACTGAGTGATCGAAGGGCGTGGATGGAAGATTCGGTGCGTGTGGCCTTGATGGAGCAGTCCACTATAGCGATAGGAGACAAAGTTCGTTGCTGTGATAGAGAATAGGTTTGAATTCTTGTATTATTCCATCCATCTGCGGCCGCATAGTTATCAACTGGATCCCTATGCTTACCTTCTGCTCTTTCTTTGTTTTTTCTGTTCCTTTCTCCCAAAAACAATTCTGTTATGTTGGGGCTCCTGAAATCACAAATATATTACTACATCCACTGGTTAATATATCTAAAGGCTAATTGACTAATTTGAGTAGATTAAAAAAATTAGTTGAGTTAATTATCTATAATAAATATGTACTGTTTTCTTTAAAATATCCTTATGTATATTAGTTAGAACTACCATTTGATGAAATATTTAACATATACAACTATTATAAAGGTTACCTTAAAAAAATAAATAAATATGAAAGACATAATTGATTGTTATCTTATATTTAAAACTAAATTAAATGTCAAATGAGCTATTATTTATATTACGGACGATGGATTCATACAAAGAAAATATTTCATTTTAGCCGCATTTTTCAATTTTCACCCAAAAAATACGCACATTAGCATAACAAAAAAAAATCAGTATGCAAATCTCTATCACTTTAGACGTATTTAACTAAGTCCTTCTAGTTTATTTTATTGGATCCTCGTAATTTTTTTTAATGATAGGCATACTCATAATTTGTTAGTTTGTTAAAAAACAAAAAAAAAAAACTCTAATAGTTAATGATATGGTTCTCACTCAACATATTATTAAATTAATTTTGCCACTTGACTTTAAATAAAATCTAGAATGCAAGGAAACAATTATGGGCACAATAATTTTTTATATTTATGTTGATAACAATTAAATTTAGGCCATTTTTAAAATTTTTTTTTTTTTTGCATTTTATAGCAACTTATATGTCGCTCAATTGAACTTGGTCAATAGACGATGAGTGCGAGGACTCATGATCATAATCGAGAAATTTACAACAACCTGATAGAAAACTATAAGACCCAAGACCTCGTTAAAAATCAAGTACAATCATAAGGAATGAAGAATTATTTTTGTCAAACTATTTTTTTTATCTTACTATAATAGATTGATTGCATTTTTTTTTTAAATGTAGACTTCTTAACACGCGTTTGAAAGTTTAGGATAAGAGATTTGAGTCTCTGTAATTAAAGTATTATTGTGTTTAAAATGGAATTTTTCAGTATAGTTTATTTTTCCCCCCTTCCCAATTATTATGTCCAAAACTCGGATGTCCTCTCAAACATATTTGCCGTATTATTATCTTTGTCCCTTGTGACCAAATCTATAAGAGGCCACTGCTTCAGAGTTTGTCTTTAGAAAAGGTGGGAAATACAGTGTATGGGCAATTATGAAAGGATGTATGGATCCTCATCGTGTTGACATTCAACAAGTTGCCCCTCTCGCTCCACTTCATGCTCTTTCTTATTATATTATTTTTTTAAAAAAAATCATTTGTTATTCTCACTTTGATTCCTTCCCCTTTTTGCCTTTTCTCATATTTAAAAAACATTTGTTATCCTTACTTTGATTCCTTCAAGTTCGATGGTTCATATGACACCATATCATCCACTTCCATTCTCTCCTTTGACGCAGCGTAGGGTTGTAGATTTTCCTTGTTTTCATCTCACTTACTTTTATTATTCTTCCTCACCCAGCCAAATCCGTGTTTAATAAATCATAAACTGTTTTATCCTCACCAAACCCAGATTAGGCACTAACTCTCTCTGAATAAATTCAGTATTGAAGGGATTGGTTTTTGTTCCTAAACTTCTAAAAATTTCAATGAACGCTCAGCGCTTTGGTATTCATGTATTCATGTATTTTGGTTATGTCATTTTTTTGACATAACCAAGAGAAACATTAATTAATCAGTAAAAGAATCAAGAGAACACTTTATAATTCGTGTCAGGATGAAAAAAAAAAGGAGTAGTAGTAAAAATAACCCAATTGGTGAAAGCTGACATAATTAAGATTGGTTTCCAATAGAATGGAAAGATGTAAGGATGCACTCAAGGAGGCATTTGGGGTGACGCAGACACAGAAATATGGTTGGAAAAGAGAGATTAGCAGTGAGCATCACTGAGCATTAATTATCAGCAGATCAATAAAAAGCAAAAGCTACTTTTGATGACGGGGGGAGGGGCAGGGCGGCGAATGGATTTGTTTATTGGTCAATTTGGCCACTTTCACGCACCCCAAAATGCGACTACTCGACGCTGAAAGCAATGAGTGATAGTGTTGCAGAGACTGTAGAGGCCACTTTGGGGAAATGCAAAATGTTGTCAATATGGACTCATCCTGTACTTGCCCTCGCCTTTCGGTTGCACCATCTCCAATTATTCTCTTAATGCTCCACATTGTTACATTATTAAAGCCAGAACAAATATTATATTACTCCTGTAAAGATAGGCCTAGCCATCATGAAAGCCCGTGAATAATGGCCTCCATCTTAGTTGGCCATCAGTGAAGTCTGACTCTGCTGACCATTCTGATAACCATGCTTGTTCCTCTCAGATTGACGCCCTCTTCTTCTTCTTCTTCTGTTCATTATATTAGTCAATTTCTAACTCTGATACTTAGCTACCAATTCAATGGCGGGGGCACTAATACAGGTGAATTTTTGCTGAGTTTGATAGGGTTCTTGGTAGTCTTTTTATTCTTACTGTCATGCTGTTCAATGACGTTCATATACATATTCTGCTTTTCTGCCTCTCCTCCTCGCTACACAAGTGTCAGCCCTTTATGGTTGAACCAAGGTTACTTAACAAATTCGTTCCCAGCATTTTATGATTTGTGGCAATCATTTTTATCTGTTGAAAATATTGTTTGACTGGTTATCCTGGAGCCCTGAGATACATAAGCAAACATAGACCTACATGCAACTTTCTAAAGGAAGCGTTTGCAACATCAGGAAGGAAATCTGTGAATAAGATATTAATTGAAACGCGTACATTTGTCAAAAATCTGGGCGTGAAACGATGTACGGTCGGACAAAAAAATCAATCGGGGGCAAAACAATATGATGTGAAACGATGAACTTGACATGCTGTGGGAATTGGAGCTATAATTTCAAGGACAAGAAATGCACTGCATTAACCACATCATACACCATTAGTCCAATTCTGCCTCCGGCCCAACTTCCTATTTGACTTCCCACAAGATAACCAAGCCTCCCAAGACACTGCTCCCCAAAGAAGCCTCCGCTATAAGTACCAAACAATGTTCCTATGCTTCTGAGGAACCCTTCTGTCATGGTAGCCCCATAATAGATAGCTTCAAAAAAGTCCCATCCTGAAGACATTATGGGACCTATAACGCGTTTCGCTTCACGGGACGCCATCTTTGCTGCCTTCTTACCATGTTTTTCAGCAAGTTTTGACGACTTTTTCTGTGACATCCCCTTTGAAGCTGCTTGAAAAAGGGCAGTTTCAACGGCTTCATCCCTTGCTTTCAACACACGAGCAGTCTCAACGTTGTAGGAGAAGAGTTTCGCAGCTTCCTTCACACTGCATCCTAAACTTCCAGCGCCCATATCGAAACAATCGAAAATTGTGAACTTCCCACATTGGGACGAACCTTCCTCCCCAACTAGCTCTCTGCACTTTTCAGCTGAAAGGACCAAAAGCAAGTCAATTGATCTCATACTCTCAGTAACCATGTTTTGATGCGCAAGATCTAATCTCGTAAAGATACACATAATCTGTATATTGTACGGTCTACCTTACATCCACTCGTTCTTACAAGTCATAAATCATTCTAGGCATTTCTAAGAATAGCTGCTCTGGTTTTCATCAGAAAGCCAGATTCAACACCTTTCAATCCTCTTACAGGTAAATGCATAGGAGATTCATCAAACACATTTTCATTACATTTGCATGTGTGTGTGTGTTTCAAAGCTAAATATTTGCGAGCCAAATATGTAATACCAAGAAGAAATTGAAAGCTTGGAGGAGCGGTGGCCGCTCCATGACGGTGAAATTAAGAGGAAAGAGATATTATAGTAAGAGTTCGGTATTTATGAATTCAGAACAAAGCAATTCATCACGTGCTGTTTGCCATTTGCGATTTCCGATGATTGCTAATGTAATGCAAATTACACAACATGGATTGCAAATAACCGAAAAGGGAAATTCAGTTGCGAGATGACATTAACAGATAGAATACTGTCAAGAAACCAATGAAATTGGTATGTATATAAGTGAAAGCACCTGTCTTGCTAAGCAGAATGATGCCAACTACAAACAGGAGGATCCGAACCCTCTTTTGTCGGAGTTACATGGCCCTGCTCTTTTAAACGATATAGACCTGAGCCTCAATGCTAACAATCCTTCAAAGATCAAAAATGCTTTTCATGATGTTCGTAGTTCCAGCGTTCATTCCTTTTTTTTTCCCTCATTGTTTCTTCCATTCATTTTTTTTTTAATTGAAGAGCTTTCTCTCTCTCTTTTTTTTGGCCTTTCTTTTTCTATTTCTTCAGTGCAAGTCGTTCCAATCTTAACGTCACCGAAGTCGAAGAGACAGGAACCTCCTAGTCTCCTACAATGCAGATCCCGTATTGGTCTCAGAATGGAAATGTCGTGGTTACCCTTGGGGAATAATTTGCCTCTCACGGTCTCGCAGTTTATTTGGAGGTGAAAGGTTAAGGGTAAAATTTTAACCTTTTTGTATCCTTAAAAAAGACTGACTTCTTGTTGTCGCGATTTCATAAAATATGGTAAAGACAAAATAAATAAAAAACTAGATAAAAAATTGTATTCATACTTTTAAATATGTTATAAAAACAAATAATATAAATTTGTGCATCAAAATTAATTTTTTATGTAGGCTAAACCAATCACAAACTGGTTCAAATATTTTTTCCGATGAAATTAATTAAGATATGAATAAAATAAAACAAAACGGCACCAGACAGCATAAAAACGTCAATGAAAATAAAAACGAGGTTGTTGGCGGGGGGTGTAATTAGAATTATTGGATCTCAAACCTTCCTAATTAGAATTTTGTAGGCATCCAAAGATACAAGGGCAGAGTCCATACCGAAGGCAGGGCGGGACTTTGGCTGGACCAACAGGGTTAATTTCGTCAAACAGAATTCCCAAGGGTTTATGGTGGGCTTTGTGGCCTCAACAGGAGCGCGTATTCGTATTGTATGCAGCTCTTCTATTCATTCGAGCGAACATCAATGGCGGTTTTCGGCCAACTCGGGCATCCATTTTAGGGCTTGAGCCAAGCGCCAATTTCAGAAATACTGTCTCACCACATTTCTTCATCTATTGCATCATTATGTTGAAGCTCATTTCCTCCTCATGCGTCCGAAGCCGTGCCCATCACCTTTCCCCGAGTTCGATACCGGCTCTCCGGCCCGCAATCGATTCCACTCCGCCTCTGCTTAATGTATTGAGTTCTCTGAGGCGGCTAAGCTTCAGAAATCCTAATTTAGGAGGCAGGGTATTTTTCTGTTCGGATTCTAATGATGGGTCCGATCAGGTAGTCGAGGCCCAGGTCAAGGCAGCCGAGTCCAGCGCCGACGAGGCTGACTCTAGGGCTGCTTCAGCTATCGTTCCCACTAGTCCCAGACCGGAAGATTATCTCACGGTTAGTTTTGGAGTTTTCTTCTGCTTGGCAGTATTCTTTAGCCAATCATATGCTTGGCGGTTGAGTGTTAAAGAAATGGTCAAACAATCCGAATTATGCAATGTAATTGCTATTCAGAAATCAAAGTCTGTAACTTGAAGCTATTGCTGTAACTTAGGATTCAGGGCGTCCTTCATTTGAATATGCATTACTCACTCCTTCGTTATTGAAACATTAGTTGAATTTCGAACTAGAACTTGGTTCCGTTTTCTTTTTAACCATCCTTCCATCTCTGAATTTTCTTTAATAACTACGCATATTGAACCTGATTGGCACTTGGTCATTGAAATATGTGGGGCGGAAGAATTGCAGCTTATCATCATCCTTCACAATAATAAAGCAACTGGAGATGCAAAATGAGTGATAGATGTTGTTTCCTCCCATTTTTCTCCGGCTGGAGGCAGCCGTTGAGGGTGAGATATGATTCTCATCTCTGAAATGGAACTGAAACTTCGAATTCGTTGTTTAAAACCAAAAGTTGAGCTAACATCTGAGAACCGAAGCATTTAGCTATAATACCTGCAATGTGTTCTCTAGTAGCAATAAGTAGTTACTGTTGGTCTTGCGCTGTAATTTGTTCATCCTCCTCCAAGTTTCAGTGAACCCAAGGGAAATAAGGTCGAAGTGAATGTAGTTGTTGAATCTAACACAGGCCTATCTATAGGGGACATACACAATGCTATATGCCAGGAATGCAGATCAAAACGTAATATTGTACGAGAGCAAAGATGTTAATGTTTGTTTAGTTTCCACTCCCTGTTGCTGTAATGTAAAGCTAATCTAGAGAGGGTGAATAACCTTATTTCTTCAAGTAATTTAATTAAACTGAGAGAAGTTTTGGCAAGTATTCAAATTTTGTGTTTTGATTCTTCGAAGTTTCTTCTGGTCTTGTGTTACCTATTCATTTCCAGACTCTGCTGAGGTATATATTGACGTATATGGGATGCTTTATGCTGTTTTCACGCTCTTGAAGTAAATGGAGGATCAGATTAGCATTATGCTGTTTTTCCTTTCTAATATTGCTTAAAAAATAATGCATTTGGAGTTGGCCTATCAAAAAGTATTTGGAGCTCATGAATTGTTATCCTTTCTTTGCACTGCTTTAGAAGCATTAACCTTGCTTGCAGACATATTATCATATTTTTCTGATTATTCTTTTTCCTTTCTTTGGAGACAGGTTTTGGCATTACCGTTGCCACATAGACCACTTTTTCCAGGATTTTACATGCCAATCTATGTTAAGGTGTGGTGGGATGTCAAGACTGAGAATTAAGCATCTTTCTTTGCTCCTTACATAAAGCTGGCTGAATCATATCAGAACCGTAACATCTTATCAGTGGCTGACTGGTTTTAGCTAATTGCTTCAAATGTAGCTCGATACTGTAGTTGTCTAATGATTATTTAACTGTACATCCAGGATCCCAAATTATTGGCAGCTTTACATGAAAGTCGAAAACGGCAAGCCCCTTATGCAGGTGCTTTCCTCCTTAAGGATGAGCAGGAGGCTGATTCAAGCATGGCATCTGGCTCTGAAACGGAGAAGAGTGTGTATGATTTAAAAGGAAAAGAGCTGTTTAATCGTCTTCATGAAGTTGGTACCCTTGCCCAGGTATGTCTGTTTGCAACTTATTTGTTAGTGCTTTATGATTTATTGCTTTAGATGTCATCTCATTCTCTGCCACTATTCTTTACCAGATTTCAAGCATTGCCGGGGACCAGGTAATCCTTATTGGTCACAGGCGTCTACGGATTACTGAGATGGTGAGTGATGGCTGTGTGAAGATCTACTGATAGCGGTGTTTTTAATGTAATTTTTGTCATCCTCTCCGTTAGGCACTTTAGTTTTATTCACAAGGATTTCAATATTCTGATTATTGCTTCTGTATGTTTGTTGTTACCCTGTTAATCAATAATTTTCTGGTCGATTACCATGTTAATATCGTAAGAATGAATAATATATGCCTTCTCTACAGGTTAGTGAGGATCCACTTACCGTAAAAGTTGATCATCTCAAGGTCTGCCATCTATCTGTTGTCTCCTCTATGTCCTCATTTTTTGTAGACTGAAAATTTCTTCTGCTTCTAGTATTCAAAGAACAGCATGAGCAGCATAATATGACACGTGTTTTTAATTGTGTTCTTGGTACCTCAGGATAAACCTTATGACAAAGATGACGACATGATAAAGGCTACATCATTTGAGGTTATATCAACCCTAAGGGATGTTCTTAAAACGAGCTCCCTTTGGAGAGATCATGTTCAGACTTACACTAAGGTTTGAATCTTGCCTATAAGCGTGTTTCATGCTTTTTTGGGGTTGTCCTTTGTCCGTGTGCCTAAATAATTATGACCAACTTATTCCATATAACTAAGATTCGTTGTCAATTTCTATAGGCCTTTTTTGACTGTTCCATGAATTATTAAACAGTGCACTAGATCATGTCTCTTACCCATTTATCATTTCAACAATATTTGGTCTCTCAGCCCCCCATCCCGGTTTTTATTGCTTTGACCAAGTAAAACACTAGTGTGGCTAAAATTGCCTCATCTGATGATAGTGTTTGTAAGTTGAAATATTTGATCAGCTGAGCATAGGCTGCATGGTTTAACACTTTTTATTTTAATCTATTCTGTTCTGTTGACTCTTTCCTTAAAATTCTGCAGCATATAGGTGATTTTACTTTACCAAGGCTTGCAGACTTTGGAGCTGCAATATCTGGGGCAAATAAATTGCAATGCCAACAAGTGCTTGAAGAGCTAGATGTGAGTAAATTTTGGTAAATGAGATTGAGAAGCTTTAACTTGATGTGATGTAGGCTACGTCCTTGTTTTCCAAAGCATTCGTCATTTTAATTTCTTGAGATAGATTTGCTAGTATATATGATGTTAACTTAGTATTTAACATTTAGAGAAAGGCAAATCAGGAACATATGCTGAATGTCGTACATGTGGAGTTATTTATGCTGTTTTCTTGGATAGGTTTATAAACGATTGAAACTTACTTTGGAGTTAGTAAAGAAAGAGATGGAGATCAGCAAGATTCAGGTGTTAAGGCTTTTTTTTCTCTCTTGGTTTTTTGTTTCTTGTTTATATGGTGCTTAATTTTTCATATCCTCAACCCTGCTTGTATTCTTATCAGGAGTCAATTGCGAAAGCAATTGAAGAGAAGATAAGTGGTGAGCAGCGTCGTTACTTGTTGAATGAGCAACTGAAGGCTATAAAAAAGGTGCAAAGTCCTCTCTTTCCCTCTGCCCCATGGTGTTTGTTTGAACGGACAGAGAAATTCCCCTTTTCAGTATTGAAGTTCAGAACATGTGAATATTGCTTACAGAACTGAGCCTCACGACATAGTCTGCCCCTAATCCTAGAAAATCGTGTTTTTCATTTTCTTGCCACGCTTAGTAAGGGATTTTTCATTTGGATTCATAAGCTATATTAAAGATGTTGCAAGTAAACATGTGAGGTAATTTCATGAGGATCTATTATATCCCGGGTTATAAAATGTTTATATTGATTGGAGCTTCTTGATCTAATTGGTGCATAAAATAATTGTGAATTGTGGATATTGTTGCTTAAAAGCTCCACCACTTTTGTGCTTATAAATTAATTTTGTTTGATTTATTATTATTTCTATTGCAGGAACTGGGACTGGAAACAGATGACAAAACTGCTCTTACTGGTTGGTTCTGATTTACTCTCTGTTTTTGATACATGATGGTAGATTTATTTTGCTTTTTATCCTGCTTAAAAGATCAAGTTATTGTATTTGTGATCAAGGTTGTCAAATCGGGATATGAATTGTGAATCGGAAAGCCAATTTTTTGAATCTTGAATCGAAACTTATCATGAATCGTAAGATTTATGAACAATTATTAAAGATGACACAGGTAATTTTATAGAAGAGAACATAAAAAATTTGTAGATATTAGGTTCTGTACACCTCACAAAAAATAAAAAAAGTCAATATAAATCAAATTTCAATGACAATTAGTCCCCAAAAACAATTAAGGAATAAAAAATTAGGATTTTGATTGATATTTGATAAGTTGAAAGTGATAAGTGTATTAGAGAGTACTTATACGACAGATTGTCTCCTATAAATAAATAAAAAATCAGAAAAAATAAATATGAAAAAGGTTTTTTAACGTGTTGAGTCAGATCCAGCACGACTCAGCACTACATGAATCACACAATTCTGGTGTGAATCGCATGATTTAGGCCACAAAAAGATACAATGAGAGATTCGTATATTTTATTGTCTATTTTGTTTCAAATCGCAAGATTTGAATCGTGAATCATGGGATTCTAACTACAATGTTTGTGATGTATAATCGAGCAGTTGAAGTCTATCTTTCTTAATTACTAAAAATGTTGACTTATCTCTCCATGGTTAGTTCTTTCCAAGAAGTCTGTTGTCATCAATCTAGTCCCTGAAAAATTCCAATCAGTATCGATTTAGTTCAAAGCCATGCCTAGAATAATGTGTTTTTAAAATGAGGACTAAATTGATGTTGACAGTTTCTTTTGGGGATCTAAGTGCTATTATTCTTTTTTAAAATGTTTTGACTGTATGGTGAGCATGAGGAAGTTTTGACTTAATATTATCCACTTGCTGTTTGCTTTCAGGTTGGTCTTCTTATAACCTTATCTAGTTAAGAGTTTCCAACTCAACAGTCTTATGCTCTTATGTGTCAGATGGAGTGTACTTTCTAGTTAATTAGTTTGCTGAAGTTGGCATTACTTTCTATTAAATTCGTTGCAGGAAAATTCAGGGAAAGGATTGAACCAAAGCGAGATAAATGCCCACCCCATGTCTTACAAGTTATAGATGAAGAGCTCACAAAACTACAGCTGTTGGAGGCTAGCTCAAGTGAATTCAGTGTAACCCGTAACTACTTGGACTGGTTGACTGCACTGCCTTGGGGTGAATACAGGTTTGTACTCGTTGAACTTGGTTTGTATTACATTAATTGTCATATGCAGTAAACTCTGTCTGCTGCGTTTCTTGGTTGCATGGCAAAAAAGTTGTGTATTACTAGTGACAACATAAGATTTTTTCCACTTTATTTATTTTTTCTGGTTTTTCTTTGATTTATAACGTTGCTTTGGTATCCTACTGCTGTGTATATTATTTTTACTCTTAATGAAGTATTTTTTGTTTCTGTAAAGTTATGCCTTTTCATGTTCACTTAAAATTCCCATTAATCTGCTTTCCAATTTGTTAATTTGCAAATCAAGTGATGAAAACTTTGATGTGATTGGGGCACAAAAGATTCTTGACGACGACCATTATGGATTATCGGATGTGAAGGAAAGGATATTGGAATTCATTGCTGTTGGAAAACTAAGAGGGACTTCACAAGGTAAATCATTGTTTGTTTTCATATGATTGAACCAGGTTTTTCTTATATTGTAGATGTAGTACTTTAATGTTGAGGTTTATATATCTATATCTGTAGTGTAGTAAAATATGAAACAAGTTTTCCTGCCTCCCCCCCCCCCCCCAATGTAATCTGGTCAGCCAAGGAGGCTTGAACCTGAGCCTTAGAGAATGGATTTAGCTCACTCCTTAGTTCCTGAGCAGATTTTTTCCCTTAAGCTGGGCATGCTTCTCACCCTTTTTTATAAGGCCTACTGTCACAGTGACAAATACAAAGGCAAGCAGGGGTGCTCCCTGATGGGATGTTACTGCAGTCTCTGTTATTCAGCTCAAGAGAATAGCTCCACAGAGTAAGCTCTAGTAGAGGAATTAGACGGATCAGCAACAAACTCAACCACATGCGCGCAATTGAGAGGCACTCCACTCTCCTCACAACTCTCCAATATTTTCCATACCTCTCTCGTCTAACCACCCCTGACATATATTCACCCAAGCTACTAACAGACTGCTAACAAAGTTCCACAAATACCCTTGCTCACAAAACTTACACCTGGTCTTGCATATTGGGCGTTTTCCTAACATATATATGCTTGGGCCTGTGTTCAACACTCCCCCGCCCCAAAGTTTCATGTTTTTCATTTTACCACACCCCCCTTCAAATTTTTCAGCTTCTAGATCCATCCCTAATTGTCTACCTAATGCTAAGCTAAACATTGAGTATTTCATCCACAAATTGGGTGTGCATGATATGAGCGGTTATAAATTCCTCCTGAAACGTGGTTACATGCTTTCTTGTTTCAACTTTCAAATGGTGAAATTAGATCACCACATATCTTGATGTTTGATACTTGTGACAGAAATTGTTGATATACATGCTGTGGTGTGGAGTGCGGAGTATGAATTTTTTTTTTTTGATTGAATGAAATGACGCCTTTGCGCTAATGAGTATTAAGCTTATAATTTGCTTAATTAATTGGGTTGGCCATTCCTCTGTGATGATGACCCAGTATTAGAACTTGAAGTATCATACTTTTTGCATTGCATGTGTTTTCGACACTGATATAGTGGTCTCCATTTTATGCTCACTTATATCAAAGGCCTTTGGTAACAACATACTCCTGATCTTTCTCCCATATATGTAGGGAAAATAATCTGCCTTTCTGGGCCACCAGGAGTTGGTAAAACAAGTATTGGTCGTTCAATTGCACGTGCCTTGAATCGTAAGTTCTTCCGGTTTTCTGTAGGAGGATTAGCAGATGTGGCTGAGATCAAGGTAGCTAATGTCTCTTTGTACTCTACTACTGTGTCCTGTGGTAGTGGCACATGATCTTTTCCGCTAATTATTTTATCTTACAGGGCCATCGTCGAACCTATATTGGTGCTATGCCAGGGAAGATGGTGCAGTGCCTTAAGAATGTGGGAACAGCCAACCCTCTAGTTCTGATTGATGAGATTGACAAAGTAATATGTTGCTATCAGGCTCATTTTGTGCACAGCTAATCGATTTCATTTGACTAGTTTTGTTTAGTATGCCAGTTCTGTTCTCCATCTGGGTCTGGTTGGATTTGACCCTTAAAAACCTCAGGCCTAAATTTCAGTTTCATTAATTATTTGTGTCTAAAGCAAGATTGTTTTGGAATTCATAGTTGTCTTACTCAATTGGCAGTTGGGCCGTGGGCATGCTGGTGATCCAGCTAGTGCACTGTTAGAGCTTCTGGATCCAGAGCAGAATGCTAATTTTCTAGATCACTATCTTGATGTTCCGATTGATCTATCGAAGGTTAGTATTTGATTCAACATTTGTGTATGGTTTTATTTGTGTGCTTATTGACATTTAAAAGGGAATCGGGAATTATTGATGATGGGAATTTGGGAGTTTCAGCGTATTGCAATTTGCAAATGTTTTGACCCTAATGCCTCATGCATTGGAAAACTCACTGCAGGTTCTCTTTGTTTGTACTGCAAATGTTGTGGAAATGATACCCAATCCTTTGTTGGATAGAATGGAGGTGGTTGCAATTGCTGGGTATATTACCGATGAGAAAATGCACATTGCAAGAGATTATTTGGAGAAGACTACGCGCGAAGCATGTGGAATAAAACCTGAACAAGTATCTTCCTCCACCCACTGTGTCCTGCTTTCCTTGTGAAGGAATAGATTACATTGTAGTGTAGTCATAGCAAGCCTGATGATATCGATTTCATTTACTGTCATGTTCCTTGGCTGAGAATTAACCGCAAAAACTAATTTGCTTCAGGTGGAAGTTACTGATGCTGCTCTTCTTGCCTTGATAGAGAATTACTGCCGGGAAGCAGGGGTCAGGAATCTCCAAAAGCACATTGAGAAAATATACCGGAAGGTCTAAATTTTGTTTAGGTCAATATTGTCAAACTTGTCGATATTACCATGTCACGCATGTCATGAATGTTTTTGTAGCTTTGTTCGTTGGAGTCATTCTTCTCTTCATTGATAGACTTGGGGCCTTCAGTCCTGACCATATCTGATATTAGATTTTCTGTAATCTCATGACAGATAGCACTTCAACTCGTGAGGCAGGGAGCAACAATTGAACCTCCTCTAGCTGATGCTCAGGATATTGAACCTAAAGAAGCCAAAGTAGATTTTCAGGATAGGTTAGGAGAGAATTGTGGTCAAGAAAAAACGAGTGGAACCTCTATAGAGGTTGACAAGGAGCAAACAGAACTACCAGCCGATCACTCTGAATGCCCCGCCAATCAAGCTGCGGACCTAGAGGTACTGTAAAAATTAGAGAGTCATAACTGGATTCCTTTATTTATCTGCCAATTATGAAGTTGGCTCTGCTAGAAACGGAGAACCACCAGGTATTGGTGACAAGTGACAATCATACAATTATATCTTTCTTGTTAGTTGTCACTTCTGTTACTATAATACCGGTAATGCGCTGCTTTGTGCTTCAATATGATGATCATCCCTGCAGAAGACGTTTTTGCGAAATTGAGCATATTTTCTCCATAATTCAACAGGAACTGATTCTCATTTGAATTTCATGGGCCTTACGCAGGACAAAAAGGAAAGTGAGAAAGATCGGGAAAGTGAATCAACAATGACAGTTCAAAAAGTCTTGGTTGATAAATCCAATTTAGCAGATTTTGTTGGCAAACCTGTCTTTCATGCTGAACGCATCTATGACCAGACACCCATTGGGGTTGTCATGGGTCTTGCTTGGACTTCAATGGGTGGTTCCACACTGTATATAGAGACTACTCGCGTTGAGGAAGGGGAGGGAAAAGGTGCACTGCATCTCACTGGTCAGTTAGGAGATGTCATGAAAGAAAGTGCTCAGATTGCTCACACGGTTGCCAGAGGCATAATAGCAGAGAGAGAGCCAGAGAACTCATTCTTTGCGAATGCAAAGCTTCATCTCCATGTTCCCGCTGGGTCCACACCCAAGGACGGACCCAGTGCTGGTTGCACCATGATTACTTCACTGCTTTCCCTTGCCATGAAGAAGCCCGTGAGGAAGGATCTAGCAATGACTGGGGAGGTGACGCTTACCGGAAAGATCCTCCCAATTGGTGGGGTACGTTGGGAAATACAATATGCCCATAATGTTGATTTGTTTCAGGAACTAACTGGACATGTTTAAGTTGTCACTAGTGTGTTATACGGAAAGTCTCTCTTGAGGCTTTTACTCCCTCCCTATCTATATTTTGAGTTGGTTGCTTTATCGTGTTTCCCCCCCCTCAATTTGAAACACTCATTCTGTGAAAAATTACAGGTTAAGGAGAAAACTATCGCGGCTAGAAGGAGTGAGGTCAAGACCATCGTGTTCCCTTCAGCGAATCGGAGAGACTATGACGAGCTGGCGCCTAATGTGAAAGAAGGCCTTGATGTTCATTTTGTTGATGATTACATGCAGATATTTGACTTAGCTTTTGGCCACGAGCAGAGTTAGAAAGTGAAGGTACTCTTACGAAAAATATAATATCATGTCGCACACCTTGAAGGCCTTTGAGATAAAATTCTTTGTTGTGCTGCGGAATGCAGCCTGATTTTTGGAGTCCCATCACTTCTGTGTATTTGGTTGAGTTTTCTTCTTTTCCGGAAACGTACGGTGCATAATTTTTTTAAATATAAATTCAATTGTAACAAGAATGTATGTATTTGAGGATGTAATTCCTTTGAGGTGTTTACGGTTTAAGAGAAACGCTATAATAATGCCACAACATTCATATTGATCCGTCTTCATAAATTATTTTTCAATTTTTATTTTAATCTTAGAATTTACCTCACTTGATACAATTAAAAAAATTAACATTGATTTTTGCTCAACTCCATTAATTTGACAAACAAATATTTAATATACAGGAAGCAAATAGCGAAGTTTAATTTAACGTTGCCGCACTGTCCATTTAAATTAAAATATTTTGAATCTGAAGCATAAAGAACGAGCGAAATACTCCAGTTATTTCTTTCTTTTTTTAAAAAATAGTTTCATCTCACTTGACCCACAAATAAACAGCCATGCTAGCCAATAGTAAACAAGCTTTTTTTTTATTTTTGAGTGAAATAAACAAGCTTTTAAACTTGGCAGATACAACATTAGGAAAGCTGGAAGTCGCGGACTCTTGTAAACCTTTCATAAAGAAAGGTGGATGCTTTTATTCATTTATGAATAAGTAAAATTAGGGCAAGTATTTGTGTCGGGAAAAAGTCAGGGCAAGTACCAAGAAAAACGCTTGCTCCTTGTCCGCTACGTCATGTGATAACCCGAGGTCAACTGAAATCTCCATCTCAGAAAATGCGCAATCATAACACGTTTCAACACTAAATGCACAAAGGCAGACGGTGTCACCAAAATGAAGGAACTCGATTCAGGCACCATCCTCGTCTTTATCCAAGCAGGCTGATAAATAGCTCAAAATGAAACCATCAAGGCCCCCTCAAGCACAGAATCGGGATCAGAAACCTCATAATTAGTCCTAAGATCTTTCACCATGCGATAAGGCTGCACCATATATAGAAACAATTTAAGCAAACTGCATAGTTTATCAAATTCTGCTATGTAAATTAAAATAGAGAGCAGATGCCATCTCAAACCGTACATGGAGCACATAACTGCGTATCTGGCTGCCCCAAGTTATATCAGTGAGAGATTGGGTATGCTGAGCATTCAACTGTGCCTGGCGTGCCATCTCCAGTTGATCTAACCGAGATTGAAGCACAGCCATTGCTGAAGCCTTATTCTGATGTTGTGACCTGTTTGTGAATCATAATCAGGCTCAAAAAATGCACGAATGACATTTCTGTAAGCAAAGAACAAGCATCGCTTAAATAAGGGTGCATAAATATCACTTACCTTTCATTCTGACAAACAGCAGTAATTCCTGTAGGAATATGAACTATTCTTACAGCACTTTCTGTTGTGTTAGCATGCTGACCACCAGGTCCCCCAGAACGAAACCGTTCAATTCGAAGATCAGATTCATTAATTTGCACATGAGCAGATGCATCACCCAGGATTGGGGTCACTGCTACAGCAGCAAAAGAAGTATGCCGTCGCTTATTGCTGTCAAAAGGTGATATTCGCACCAGCCTATGCACTCCTACTTCTGCTTTGGCATATCCAAAGGCATAATCACCATCTACTTTAATTGTCGCTCGCTGAAAAATCAAATTAAATGAATTCAGTAACAGTTCTGAACAGCATAAATTGTATTTTAAGTAAAAGGAAGATAACAGACTATAGGCCTCAGTGTGAGAAATATTAGTGGTCCCAGAATAGAATAAACCTCCAGGTTAATCTTGGGAGCATCTCAAAAAAAAAGTTACACTCAGTCTTTCGAAATCATAAACCATAATTACTTAAAAAGTTGCGTTGAGACATCATTGCAAGCATGCTACAGCTGTGTGTAAAATTTGTTTGAATTCATGAATCACGGTGAGAAGGAGAACCTTGATTCCTGCAATCTCACCAGGCATTTCTTCCACTACAGTTACTTTGTATCCACGTCCCTGGGCCCAAAACTTGTACATCTGCATGACCATTGCAGCCCAGTCCATACTCTCAGTACCACCAGCTCCAGCCTGAACCTATTAGAAAATAAAACAACAAACTTTAATGGGACCACATTTTAGTCTGTGCAGCTCATGTTCTTTGAGCAACTGATGCTGGTGATAGAAAAAGACGACTTGTCATGTTGTTAAACAACAACCTCAATGTAACAAGAGCATAAATCCTGCTCCCCAGCAAGCAATGCCTCGAGCTCCTTTTCTTTTGAATTTCTTCTCATTTTAAGAAGCGCTTTCATTGATTCCTGCAAAAGGAGGCAACTTCCATATAGATTAAAAAGAATGGCATTTACTAGTGAGAAACGCAACACTTAAAAAAATCTTGTATGAAGAGACTTCAACATCTGTATTTGACATTCAAGACAATGATGCCTGTTCTCTTCAACTGACAACTCAATTAAATGAATGCTCCAACATTCTAATATAATGTTCACTATCTAGTTTCTTCTTCAAAATAATACTTATTTACAAATTAACAATTATATGCTATGACTTAATGAGTCATCACTATCATAGGCTAGACGTTTTTAGTTAGATTATTGTCTACTTCTTCACAATACTAGGTACACAGAATAAAATATGACTATAATTCAGATTATAAAGTATGACACAAATACATGCAAGACTCCAGTGGCACTACCGCAGCGGTAAAGCAGATGAATACATGCCTAGGAGCAGAAGCTAGTGCCCACCGATTCCAAATCTTCATCATTCTCCTCTCTGGCAAGTTTTATCATGTCAATATTCTCTAGTAGTTCTTGCTCCAATGCGTTCACCTCTTTCATTTTTCCTATGAGCGAACCATGCTCACGGCTTATTTTACTTGCATGCACAGGATCATCCCAAAGGTCTTGCTTATTAAGCTCGGCAGATAAGAAATCCAACCTGACCATCAATTTTCTCCACTGCCAAAACAAACAGAGAAGTTACTTCACGCAGGTTGTAGCCGTCTGACATTGACATATAAAAATGGTCTCTCAATTAGATAATGACATCCCAAGTATGATCTAAGTGAGATGAGAACCACTAAAAAACAAGAAACGGAGTTATTAGCAAATTTCCACCAGAGGAAACTAAAATGAGCTATCTTGTTATCTAGAATGAAGATTTGAATTTGACTCCTCATGATCAGTAAATTGTAATTAACACAAGATATTACTGCCTCCGGTCCTAATTATAAGAACTATAAACAAGGACCGGAGGTAGTAGTTGATAATGGTTAGTTATAGTTAAAACAGTTAGTTTGGGGAATAAATAATAATAGCCGTTAGTTAGTGAGGGAGGTTAGAGGGTGACTCTTTATATTAAGGAGACTCATTGTAATCAGAGGCTAACGCTTATTGACTAATCTCTGTCTCTCTACCGCTACTCAACACCTCACCTGTAGACGCCGTTTAATCAAATGAATAGACTGAGCTACCGCAGCTGCATGACTCTTCCAATCACCCTCGTTCTCGTCTAGAATCGCCCAATTGTTCGCTAGAATCCCGTCCACCGTTAGCCCATCTGAGGTTGACTGTTCTGAAAGCGTTTGGGAACCCCAGAAGCGAATCTGTGAGGCAAAGACCGGAGCCCGGTGACTCCGATGAGAGAAATTGGTGTTTCGAAGAGAATTTGAACCACAAAAGGGGATAATATTCTCTACAAATCTACCCCGAGAAATCAGAATATTTTCTTGGGGGACAGAATGCGAAAAATGGCGACACCTTGACCCAACCCAGAGCAAGCTTGAAGGAGAGACAGTGTGATACGAGTGGGAAGGATTTCCCACAAATGTGTTCAGGAACGCTGAGAACTCAGAAGAGAAGAGGTGCAAAATTCGCCGGCTTTGAGCATCGACTTTGGACTTTCTTATCGAAATTCGCATAAAATTGGACATTTCGTCCAAAATCGAAGTGAAGATAGAGCAACCAGGGTACTTCTACTTCCTAGATCGTAAATTTTACACGCGCGCGCGCTGCTTTTGCTTTGAGAGGGTTTATCAGGGTTTATCGTGCTGTTTATGTTCTGCTTCTCTCTCTCCCCCTGATGAAGACGACATGGGAAGCATCCGTTTGGGCCTTTAAAGCGACGTCGTTTTTAGGGTTCAACTATTTTTTTGAAGTAACGGATCAACAACACCTTTCTTTTTTCATGACAATCAACAAGCAATTCGCCGCCTCGCGACCTCTAACACTGTGTTGCTGATGGACCCAGACACTGGGCCCGGCCCGTTTAACAATTTCTAACAACTAAAATCCGGGTCAGCGGCATAAACGAAGTGGCGCAAATGCCACTCATGTCCTCCCTTCGCTCGGGACTCCTCTTCAACCCCAAATCGGCGTTCCATGCGACCGGGTTTCCCAAAACTGTTCTTTTCCTCAAATCAACTATAGCCATGGTTGACGAAGCAGAGCCAACGCCTCATTCCCGAATTGACCTCATAACCCTCAAAATTACCCCGTGCCACTGTCCCCTCAGCTGCCCCCCATCTCAAAGCAAATTGAGCTTAGTCGGGCCATGTCTGCTTCTTCAAAATCCAGCCTCTTCTCTCTTTCAAGAGCGGACATTCTATACGAAGACGAATGGCTTCTCGCTGTTAATAAGCCCCAGGGTATTTACTGCGAGAGTGTGCTCTCCTCTCTCACTTCAGCTCTCGCTCTACCCTCTCCCTCAGATGGACTCACAGAAGGTGTCTCTCTATTCTTTCTGAGCAATTGTTGAATGCGGTAACCTGGATGCTCTATTTGACTTGTTTGTTGGGTTTGAGTTGACCCGGTTTTCTTAGTATGCTTATCCTGTTTGGTTTTCCCCTTTTATGAACGACTTCCTTTAAAATAAATTAGTGCCAGATTTAAAGAATGAATGAAAATTATGGTCAACTAATTAACACAAGCATTGGAATGCCTCGACTGATTCCTTTTTATACGAACCTTTTTCAGGCCCGAAATAGGACTGAACGAGAGGTAAAATTTTGATTGATAATGATCTTTCATTGAAAAATGACAGTTTTGACGACTCCCCTGAATTTCTACTGCTTTTGAAAGCAAAGCATAATTAAGGATTAGATTCTTCTCTCACGCCCATCCACATTAGTTGAACTTATGAGTAAATTCGGATTGCAGTTTCTAAGGATGCCTTTTTTAAATGGACAGATGCTTGATATCGCTCGAGTTAACTTATGAACCAAGCTGAAAGACTGGCTTCTTTGTCAGCTCGTATTAACACTGTAAAAGTTTGAGGCGCGTGGTTCTTGTTTAGGACAACACTGAGGGCGGTTATTTTCGTTTCAGGAACTAAAATCAGCTTGCCAGAGCCAGTGCCTGAGCCTGAGCTTCATCTTGCCAATCGACTTGACCGTGACACAAGTGGTGTCATGGTCATAACAAAGTCCCACAAAGTGGCCGCTAAACTTGTCAAAGCATTCACTGATCACAAGGTTAGGAAAACATATATTGCCCTCTGCGTTGGTTCAGCTCCACAGTGGGGAAAGATCACTGTAAGATCAGGTCACGGGAGGTCCAAGTTCGGTGCCTGGCGGGTATATGCTACTTCAGATGTTGGCAGGACGCTACCAGGTGGATCAGTAATCCGAGACATGGAAACTTCATTTGAAGTATTATCAATAAATGGAAAAGGGAGTTTCAAGGAACCCTTTGAATCTACAAACAATGAAGGCTTTACTGTGGTTGTGGAACAAAAGGCTGTCAGAGGAGATGTTATGGAAGATGAGATCCTGGTGAGAGCATATCCTCGCAGTGGAAGGACTCATCAGATCCGCCTGCACTGCCAATATCTTGGGATTTCTATAAAAGGGGATGTGAAATACGAGGGAGTCTATGAGTGGCGAGATAAAATTTATGATGCCCATCAGCTTCATGCAGAAAGCATGTCTTTTGAGCATCCTGTTACCGGTATGCAGACTGTTCTCCATGCACCTCTGCCATTGTGGGCCAACCAGACTTTGCAGCTTTAAGTTATAGGCTTCCTGGGCTTGGAAGAAAATAATTCATGGTGTTTTGAGCAAGTATTTTTGGCATCTCATGGATGAAGTTTTTTTTTACCTTTTTTTCTTTAAAAAGATTACAATTTAGTCTCGTATCATCATGTGCTTGGTGCATTGTCCTATCGACAAAGATGCCCTCAAAATTGGGAGAGGTCAGGTCTGACCTGTATGGCTGGTTTAGCTCTCTTTCTAATTTAAAAAAGAAAAAAAAATCATTATACAATGTTGTTGTGAACTAAAGACTATACTGTTCAAAGAAACTATTCATCCTAAGAAATAAATGACGTATACCTGCTTGAAGAAATTGGTCAATTTGGTCTCTTGATTGATTAGAGAGGCGAAATTTTTTAGAAAACGGGGATGAAGAGAGCTTGTGATTGAAGTCATGGAGTTGCTAGGATTGTATATAAGCTGAGACGCCCACCTGGGCAATCCCCGCTAATCTATTGAATATTGACCTTTCTTTTTTTGGGGGGGGGGGGGTTGTGATGCCAATTTTCGGAGATAAAGGGCTTCAATGGCAGGTGGGCGAAACATGGAATTAATCTGAGTTGGTGGGACATGCACGCTAGAAAAGGATTGGAAATAAGTAGAAAGAGTCATTTGTAACTTTTCATTAGAAGTACTATTCCGTCCATCTTTTTAATTAAATTACGCAATTTAAGAAAACAGTTAAAAATAGTTAAAAATAATTAATATTAAGATCATTTTAATTAAATTGTATGGTTTAAGAAAACAGTTAAAATTAATTAAAACAATTAATAAATATGTGGCAAAATACAAATTTTTTTTCCAAATATACCTTTATATATAAATGGATAGATATGAGAGAGTAATAGTAAAATAAATAAATAAAGAGGATATATTAAATGTATTAAATTAGGTGTAAAATAGGTAATAATACATTAAATATGCTGACAAATTTGAAAGGAATTTTATAAAAAGAGACAAATCTATTTAAAAAATTAGATTTTATAATAAGAGAGGAGGGAGTAATAATTTTCTTTTGAGACGCTATCAAGTATACGTGTTGGCCTTTCCACCGGTGAAGGAGGGTTGCAGTTGGGTGAGTACATGGAGTCCATGAGGCATCTGGATCTGGCGTGGAATATACTCCGTCACTATATTTGTTATCACCGCGTAGTTGAGCTTCCCCTGTGATATTCATTAATTATTAGTCGTGGCGAACTAGTGAATAGTGATGTTCATATTTTTCTGTTTACCAGATTTTGGCAAAGTTGAATGACAAGTTATTAAAAAAACTGAGTGGCAGGTAAATTGGGATGGGGCACATGAGATGCATGATGTGGGAGGCGTCTGATACGGGAAACGGTGTTATCATCATCATCGTTGTTGATGATTGTTAATTAGGGAATACGGAAGCAGGTAATGCCTACGACAAGGCGAACGGGGCTTCCTTCCAACGGAAGCATCCAGAAGAGCTAATTATAGCAAAAAGAAAAGCAATGACATGTGTGGCGGCACTCTCACTTGTATGTCCATGCCCTTGGAATCATCCCAGTCAGGGAACTGGGCCCGTCCCTCCTTCCGCCGTTCAACTTTTACGTGAACAGTGCGTCAGTTTCTTTATATAGAGGGGAAAATATGTGGTGCATAATCAAAGAATACAATACAACTGTATATTAATAAGAATGGATATAACAGAAAGAGCTAAGGAGGCGAATTAAGTTTTTAATTCTTATTAAAGAGTGTTTGATAGTGAGTTAAAAAAAACTTTAATTTTAAGAACAAAAATTCTAAAAAAAATTCGTAAAACCTTGTGACCTTATAAAAATGAGATGTTAAATCCATTTTCTAACAGAAAGAAGAATTGAGAATTCTATCTAAACCTGTCTAAATTCAATGTAAAAATTATATTTGAGTCATCGCATTTTTTTCCCACGATATAAATATCTTTTCGTGTAAACAACTTTTAAAATTAACATAATAATTATATTATTTATGAATTATCAATAACATATTTATTATGAATTTAAACTCTTTTTTTGCCGTGAGATCTAAACTCTACTGCTCATCATGAAAAATCTGAAGCGATTTATTTATTTTCGGTGATGGCCGGTTAAATTTTTAAATACTATCTTTAGTATTTAATATAAAAATTAATTGACTAATTTGAATAGATTAAAAAAATTTGTTGAATTAGTTCTTTGTAATAATTAAATGTTGCTTTTTATAAAATATCCTTACTATCATCTATAACTCTATAAGAATATTTAAAATAAATAAATAAATATAAAAGATAAAGTAAATAGAATTCTATATTTAAAACTAAATTAGTTCTTATATTAAGGATAGGAGGTAGTACATTGTATCTATAGGAATTTTGTTTGATGCGACGCAGATGTATCGTTCATTTTTCTCTAAACAGCCAATGCTAAATGAATTATGCTTAAATTTTAACGTTTCATTCTCGTTAAAAACAATTACTGTTGAATATATAATATATTTGGGTTGGATTTTTGGATATAAAAATGCCTTGGCTAAAAAAGGTTAACAAGTACCAAACGCGACCCTCGGGCACACCTTCAAAAAGGATTACATTCATGCCTACGTGTCCCGCATAATTCTGAAGACTTAGTTAACCAATAATAGTTTGCCACATCGTCCCAATGACAATTCTCTGATACGTGGCTCATCAAGATTGGTCCAATCCGGCCCGCATAGTCCACCTCAAACTCGGCCGAAAAAAATAAAAGGAGCACTTTGTAGTTTCGGGAGCACACTCCAACTCAGTGCTTCTGTCTCTGGGAGATTTCATAATTCGGTAGCCATGGCGCTCCGAGCGCGGAACCCTAATCTGCAGTTTCTCTCCTTTTCTTTCTTTGCTGGCGATCGCTTCCGCGAAGGTCTTTTTTGAGGAGCGTTTTGATGGTAATGATAACATTTGCACTCGAATATTCTAGTGTCTTTTCCTTTGCTCCCCAGCAGATCGTGGAATGTAATTTGATTTTCCCCCGTGTTTCCAGGAAATTAAGGATTTTAGAATTTTTTATTGGATTTCGTAATTGTCAGCTTTGGTTATTCTGTCACTGATCAATACTTTAATTCGTTTGCGCGGCGATCTGTCTGACGCCTTTGGTCTGTGCTTGATTGGACATTGAAGTTTATCTGGAAATGTGGTGGTTTGGTGTAGATCTATTGTGATCTTGACTGTTTTGGCTCTTATTTTAGTCGGCTTTTCGTTGGTACGCAATCTGAAGTTCTTTTCTGTGGTCCTTGTCTAAAGAACTCGGTATTATACTGATGTGATTTTAACATAAAATTCATATGTTCGTGGGAAGTGTTTCTAAAATTGTACTGAAGCATTATCCCTAGCATCACTTCATAGGGAATTGACAGCTCTTGAGGGCACTGCCGCCTGGATTTTTTATCTCGGTACTCCTTCCGGTTACATGCGCATTTCATCAGGGTACCGGGGTTGAAAGTTGTTTGTCGATTCTTAACTAGATTTGCCCCCGGTCTTTTAACCACTTCGAAGTTGAATTGCGTCTCGCTCGACTTATGTTACTTTGAGGTGGGAGGTTGAACATTGTTTACGTAGTATATAACATCGTTGTATGGGTAAGTGACGGTAGAGTCTTCTGCAAAGATTAAATGTAAATGGGAGGCTCGTGCCTCCATAAGGAGATTATTTCTTAAACCGACTGGTGGTCACATTGTTTTTTTGTTTTTCCTCTATTTCAATGTATATAATGACGAATGGACAATGAAATTCGCACGCCATTAAGTACAGCTCCTATTAATGGTTCATCTGTAGTCTTCTTTTTCCTGTTTATTAGCCTTTCTTGTTCTTGTTCTTTGTTTTTTCATATTTGGTTAACAATATATCCTGTTTTCTAACTTCTATGTGCTTTATTCGTATATGCTAACGGGTGATTGTTATAGGTGGATGGGAAAATCGCTGGGTAAAATCTGATTGGAAGAAAGATGAGAACTTGGCTGGGGAGTGGAACTACACCTCTGGTAAATGGAATGGTGATCCTGATGACAAAGGTAAACTAGATTATCTATGTAAATCAATTATGGTGCATAAAATTTTTCATTAGAACAATCATTGATTCACAGACTAGAGTGAGATTATTATTGACTTGTGCTTTAATTTCTCCATAGGTATCCAGACAAGCGAAGACTACAGATTTTATGCGATTTCTGCTCAGTTCCCTGAATTCAGCAATAAGGATAAGACACTGGTCTTCCAATTTTCTGTTAAGCACGAGCAGAAGCTTGACTGTGGTGGTGGTTACATGAAATTACTTAGCGGGGAAATTGATCAGAAGAAATTTGGTGGGGAAACTCCATACAGGTAATTGATAAATCTCCTGTAGCATGTTCTTTACTCATTCATTCACTGACTCAGCTGATTTGACTGCTTACATTTTTTCAATGCAGTATTATGTTTGGTCCAGATATCTGTGGTTACAGCACCAAGAAAGTGCATGCAATTTTAACGTACAATGGCACAAACCACTTGATAAAGAAGGATGTACCATGTGAGACTGACCAACTAACTCACGTATACACATTTGTCCTCCGTCCAGATGCAACCTATAGCATCCTTATTGATAATGTGGAGAAACAAACTGGCAGTCTTTATTCTGATTGGGATCTTCTCCCTCCCAAGAAAATCAAGGATCCTTCTGCCAAAAAAGTAACTTTGTTTCCACCCCTTAGTTTACTGTTTCACTTACAATTTGTTGATTGGTCTTGAGGTGTTGAAAATTCTTTATTGTAATACTCCTGCAGCCAGAAGATTGGGATGACAAAGAGTACATTCCTGATCCTGAGGATAAGAAGCCAGAGGTTGTACATTCTCGTGAAGCTTATGATATTTTCTGACGTTTGCTATTGTTGTATATGCTGACTTCCTATGCTTGTAGGGGTATGATGACATCCCAAAAGAGATTCCAGATCCTGATGCCAAGAAGGTCCTTATCTATGTTGTTTGCTACTGTTTTATATCTTACTTGGTGTTGTTACTCATAACACTACCTGTTGTTTTAGCCCGAGGACTGGGATGATGAGGAAGATGGCGAGTGGACACCACCAACCATTGCGAACCCTGAGTACAAGGGCCCATGGAAGCCGAAGGTTTGTTGTCATTTTGATATATCTAGTTTGCACAGGATTGGACATGTTTGCTGATCTTGCACCTACAACTCTGCAGAAAATTAAGAACCCCAATTACAAAGGAAAGTGGAAGGCTCCATGACGACAACCCAGGTCTGTTTTTATCATTCCTTTGTTGTCGTTATGGCTACAGAAACTAATTGGTGGCATAAGATACGTTGCAAACTTTTATAATTCAGTGGTGGATTTGAGGTCACGTAAGTAGTAAGTAGTCACACGTGAAAATTCACATTTTATCAGATTTCAATGACGATCCTGAGCTCTAT